CCCGAGCATGGCTAGGCTGCTAGAGGCTAGGCTGCTAGAGGCTAGGCTGCTAGAGGCTAGGCTGCTAGAGGCTAGGCTGCTAGAGGCTAGACTGCTAGAGGCTAGACTGCTAGAGGCTAGACTCTACCGTGCAATTGAAATTGAAATAAGTTTATTGAGGTAAAATACACACAAAGGGATGAGGTAGCTCAAGCTATTCTCACCCCGTTCAGTACATCGTGTTACTATATACACAGACACACATCACAAACAATAAACATATTACCGAACATTCTGAGAGATAAACATATAGATTTCTACCGTGCAAAACAACCCATCCTCCTATTTAGATAGTGAGCAGTAGTACCTATTGCGACGGTCGTCAATAGTCACGAATTCGTACGTACTTAGCTTTTAGATAGTAGTATACTGACTAGTTAGGAATTCTTTAAAAATAGATGAAGCTAAAACACAAACTTAAATATTCTTAGGCCTAGTATAGCACACACATGTACGATATTAGGCCAACAACAGTTGATCAGCGAAGTTGCAGAATCTGTGGTGAGAGTGACGGACACCGCCTTGACCACTATCTACGTGAATGTGAACACCTGAGAGAAATCAGAAATATGTGTAGAATAATAAACCCCACATTGTTTGAGTTAGGAAAACACTATTTGTCAAATATTGATGCTGTTCTTAAAAGATTTCCCCATTTTGCACCCGCAAGATAACGTAAGCTTTTAAGGGTTGATAGATGTTAATTTTCTTGTTTGAGGAGCTGTTCACTTGAGACAGTTAAGCAAGTCCCAGCTGTGTCTGGGTACAAGTGACAGGATGAACAACCCAGCGGGTTTTCTTCCTATTGGGGAGTGTTGTACATGCTGCTATGGTGGTGTGTCCACTCACAAGATGAGTGGCGGTGCCCAATAAACTCGCCCTTCGGGGGCAAAATTTAAAAAAATTAAAATTTAGGCCTCAGATATCGTGTATTAGGCCTGGAAGGGTTAGGTTAGTTTGTCAAAGCATCACAAGTAAAAAATAGTTTTCCTGTTTGTCCTGCTCAATATTTCAGATTTGAGTCGAGTTGTATATCACGCCTTGAGGTGTATATCACGTCTTATGAGGTATATCATGCCTTGTGAGGTGTATATCACGCCTTGTGAGGCGTATATCACTCCTTGTGAGGCGTATATCACTCCTTGTGAGGTGTACATTATAAATAATACTTGGTACGGGATGATACTTGGAAGTGTGACGTCACGAGGCCCTTGAGCGATGGCTGGGGTCTGGAGCCCATCAGAGCGTCTCGAGAGGGCGCGGATCCACCGCTTCTTGATTGACGGACCCACAACGCTCTTGTTTCGGCAAGCCTCTGTCTCTCATCTCACTTTGTTCTCCCTTGTCAACGCAAGTGTAATAAGCTCGGAACCAGTCGGGCGGCATCGTATCGCATGGAGGGGCGGGAGAAGGACCTTGCTGGCCCCTTAACTCAATGGGCGGTAAAGTCCGTTATTGGCGTTAGTGACGTGGGTGTGTTCCAGTACCCAAACCCATTATATCAATGGGTAATTTACCGGCGCCGCCCACCGGATGAATATGAGGGTAATAAAAAGCTAGTTCAACTTGAGTCTCGTACTCTCTCTCTCTCTTGAAATATAAACAGTCAGGCATTGTTTGGTAAACAGGGATGAGTCTGGCTTATCCCGCACACCTGATAAGTCTTTTTTTAAATCTTCAATTTGATTATTTTCGTTTAAGTAACACACACACACACACACACACATATATATATATATATATAACTGAAAATATGTAAATTATATAATAAAATATGCAAATTCGGATGAGGGAAGATAAGAGTAATTACTACACAGGGGGATAATTTAAACTAGGCTGTCTTAGACTATGCCGAGTTCATTGTGTGCGTTCATTGTGTGTGGTATGCGTTCATTGATGGTGTTCGTTCAATGGGGAGTTCGATGCAGTTCATGCTCGCAGAGTGCTCAAGATTGGAAGGTTCGTCACTTTAGCAGCCACCTGCACTTGCCACAGGTAACGATCTTTAATCTTGGTAATGATAATGTTATAATTACACTCAGAAATCACAATAGCGTGATGCATCAAATGAACAAATCCACAAAAGAAGGAAAACTTCTGGTTGCATTTCTTTTAACCATGTCGTAGCTCAGTCGATTAAAGCAGCGTCTGGGACGCTCTCGGACGTAGGTTCGAACCCTCGTCACGGCCCTTGTAGATTTGTTCATAATGTCATAATATTGTATGCTAGTGCATTCTATTCTTTAAGTCTCTAATTGATATCATACTGAACCTGTGGAACAACAGAGATAGGGATTCCTGGGTCTAGTTCATCGTCATCTTTATTGGCTGCTGTATCTATTATGATGGGTTATATAAGCCATATAATATATATTATATATGGGTTATGTTTGGGAGATGGTAGCCGTACACAAGAGACTCTAAAGCCTCTTGTTGTGTGCAGCCAACAGGTTATTTATAATTCCTATTATGAAGTTCTTATACGGTCTATCTGGCAGGAGAAGTTTTCAAGTGCCTTAAGAGCGGAATAAGTTTTTTTTTATTAACACATTTAGGTACATTTGCATTTGTGAACCGCACGTCTATGGGTCATCCAATAAGGTTAACAGACTTCTAGATGTGATCACTGCTAGGCTGAGGCTCGGCTACAAGTACCTCTGGCAGTTTGTAACATCTGCTGATGTAGATCTGACTAAATGTAAAATCTGTCAGCAGAACTATTCGCATACTTTGCGTCATTATATAATGGAATGTGAAAAAATCGCAGAATTCGGAGAACACCATCAATGGAGTCCAAGAAATGTTAGTACTTCATTCATAATGATGTGCTGCCGGGAATCTTAGCCAAGTATCCAAAATTTGCTTACAGTTGGTAATGCATGCACATGACTGTAAAGCTGCCGCCCAGTTGGGTGGGTGTGGAGCAAGACTAGTAACTGTGACTCACCATAGATGTAAAGTGCCTTGTATAGTGACTGTTGTGAGCCTCTTGTTGAATCACTTGTGATACAAAAAGATTATCAATGTGTGTATATGTATTTGTGTAAATGATTGTATATATATATATATATATATATATATATATATATATATATATATATATATATATATATATATATATATATATATTAACAATTGTGTAACTAGCTTCAAACGATTGTCACTTGCTTAGCTAAATGAACTCTGGGGTTCAGTTCCTGAGCCCATTATATACCTCTGTAATCCTTTCCGCCACCGCCCATGGGATGGGTATGGGGTGCATAATAAAGAAAGAAATTGAAATTGCATTTGAACTACGGAATGAGTTTTTTTTTATTAATATATGAGGTACATCTGCCTTTGTGCAGCTACCCTAGATTATATGAAGGGGGAGTATAGTGTCAAAAAGCTAGCTACGTGATGTTAAAAAATCCCCATCATACAGGATGGTTAGTCATGCAGAGGCATGTGAGAGGTAGTCTGCACTGGCAGACTCCGGGTGCATTATGAGGATATCAACAACACAAGAGTGAATAAGGTAGCTGTGATACTAAAGGTCCCCATCTCGCAGGATGGTCATACAGGGCCATATGTTCAGTAGCCTGCACTGACAAATTTTGGGTACACTGTGAGGATATCTTCAAGAACACGAGAGTGAATTAAGTAATTGCAAAGCGCCAGGTACCTCATACCAACGGGTCTGAATGGTCTAATAACTGGGCATTCGGTGATGTAGTGCGGGAGATCATGCCGCAGTTCCTGCTCACAGAGTTTGCACCTGGAGTGCTCAGGATTGGGAGATCCGTCACCTGCAGCCACCTGCCACAGGTAACGGTAACCCAACCTGATCCTGGCAACCACTGTGTCACACAGTCTGGTCCACGTTTTGTGTTGCCCATAGATATAGGTTTCAGATCTGAACAAATCATAGCTTTTTATACTAGTACTTTCAGGTCGTTGGGAGCCAGTAATTTCAAGATTGGGAGATCATCAGTGTGTTAGGAAATGTAGATGTTTATCTCTCAATGTTTGGCAATATGTTTATTGTTTGTGATGTGTTTATATGTATGTATTAACACGATGTACTGAACGGGGTGAGAATAGCTTGAGCTACCTCATCCCTTTGTGTGTATTTTACCTCAATAAACTTATTTCAATTTAAATTTCAATAAGTGTGTTTGGCTTAGTCTGCGGCAATATTACGCCATATTCCAAGGAGTTGCCCCTGTACTTGCTTATGTAGTCTCACTCGTTCCTGTATATAACATCAGTATTGTTATGGATGAAAGTGTCTAGATTTACTTTGGATCTACTTCAAGTTGCCTTCGGGATGTTCAACGATACAGGAAATATACCTCCTTGTATGATACAGGATATATATATACCTCCTTGTATGATACAGGATATATATATACCTCCTTGTATGATACAGGATATATATACCTCCTTGTATCATTATATTTTAATCAGTTTGTGAGGAAAACAAATAATAATAAAAAAAATTGTACTCCTGGGAGTTTGCAACACCTGCCGGAGTAGAGCTGGCCAAATGTAAACTTGTGAAGCAAACTAATCCCATACCTTGTCTCATTGTGTAGTTGTAAACAAATCCACCACCACTCCATCACTAAAGTCCAAAGTTTATGTTTTTTCTGGAATGACACACACACACACACACACACACACACACACACACACACACACACACACACACACACACACACACACACACACACACACACACATATATATGATTTATTACTGCTCGTAGGATAGGTATGAGGTGCATAATAAGTGAGCAAATCTAACAAAAAAATAAGCAGGTATTTCCACACGGTCTTAGTTACTCTTAGTTATTTTCTTAATGATGATTATTTTCTCTTAATTCATTTATGTTGATAATAAGATGCAATAAACGTGTCCTCATGGAGGCCACTAGAGTGTTAGTGGCCCTCGGGTAAATTTAGGTATGTGTGTTGCAGGGTGCGGGTGTGACGAGCGAGGGTCAGGCAGCAGCAGTTGTGACATCGTGACTGGCCAGTGTCCCTGTAAGAGCAACGTGGACGGCCGCACCTGCTCCACCTGCAAGGTAAGTCTACACCTACACCCGCCCACACACGCCTCTGAAGCACGCGGGGGAGGCTCTCCTGCCTTACACAACCCAGAGCTGGTAAGGCGGGGCTCGCTATGTAGTGCTCGACCCTCCAAGCACCTCTTTAAGTATAAAACACTCACTCACTCACTCACTCACTCACTCACTCACTCACTCACTCACTCTCACTCTCGCCATGGGTATTTAAAGAGTGTGCAGAAATACTTTGCTTGCCACTCTCCTTAGTATATAGTAGGTCATTGGAGACGGGAGACCTACCCAAAATATGGAAGATGGGGAATGTAATCCAATATACAAAAAGGGTGACAGACAAGAGGCACTGAACTACAGGCCAGTGTCCTTAACTTGTATACCATGCATGGTGACGGAGAAGATCGTGAGAAAAAACCTAGTAACAGTTTTTTTATTATTATTATTTGCTACCACAGACGTGGCCACACATTTACAATGCTAACCAGCATATATACATTTTCTTCTGTCCTCCATGGACAGGGTTAGAGATGTGTTAAACATATAGTTCAAGGGTTTATTGAACAATCAACCACAGAAGGTGATTCGATGCTTTTAAAATGCTAAGCTAACCTAAGCACAAATACCATAGTTGAGATAAGGATAGATGAGAGAGTAATAGAGGTCACCAGGGCAGGGCGAGGAACATAATATCTGATCTTAGAAAGAATGCCAACAGTTTTAGAAACTTTTTTTGCTATATTTAGAATGTGTCCCTGGAAATTCGGTTTGTTATCAATGAGGACACCAAGGAATTTACCATCAACTTTACTACTGATTTGTATATTGTTTATTCTTAGATTAATTTCATTTGAGGATTTATTACCAAACAAAATATAGAAAGTTTTGTCAATGTTAAGGGTGAATTTGTTAGCAGTTAGCCAAAGATGGACTTTATTTAGTTCAGTATTCACAGTGACATTTAGAGCAAGAGGGTCAGGACTGGAGAAAATGAAAGTTGTGTCATCAGCAAATAAAATTGCTTTGAGGTGTTGAGAGGCATTTGGAAGGTCATTAATGTAGATGAGAAAGAGGAGAGGGCCAAGTATGCTGCCCTGTGGAACACTAATGTTTATAGGTAGTGTCGGAGAAATGAAATTATTCACAAAAACATACTGGAGCCTGTCAGAAAGGTAGTACTGAAGGTATTGCAGGGAGTGACCTCTGACTCCATAATGATGTAATTTAAGAAGAAGGTTTTGGTGGTTGACAATGTCAAAAGCCTTACATATGTCCACAAATAACCCATGTGGGAAGAACTCAACAAGAGGTTCCAGGAGGTCTTCATGATAAAACAAGGTGAGGTCACTGCGCTAGGAGAGGGGAGCAGTACACCAGGCGGCCTTGGAAGGGTTCAAAATTACGAGAGATGAGGTCAAGAGACACCTGTTGGATCTGGATGTGAGAAAAGCTATTGGTCCAGATGGGCTTTCACCATGGGTATTTAAAGAGTGTGCAGAGGCACTCAGGAGGAGTATGGAGAGAAGTATGATTGAATGGTTTTGTTGCTTCATTTCAGCCTGGGCACTGGGGCCACGTGTCAGGGAGTGGGTGCCTGGAGTGCCACTGTGACAAGAGAGGGAGCATCAGCCCCCAGTGTGAAGATGCCACGGGGCAGTGTCGCTGTCGGCCCGGTGTTGGCGGCACCCGCTGTGATACTTGTCTGCCTGGCTACTGGGGCTTCTCCAGACAGGGATGCAAACGTGAGCAAACTTCGTCTCTAAATACAATGTAGTAATTTGTTCTTTTTGTTATATACAACTAAAAATATTTTTGTATTCTTTTGTTTTCTGTAACAAAACACTATTTGTTGTACCTTGTCTTTAATTGTAAAGGCTCTTACATCTCTCCTCAGCATGTGATCCATGTGGTAGTCCTGGCCGTTTTTGTGACCCTAATTCTGGGCGTTGCATTTGTCCAGCCAACACAGAAGGTGACCGCTGCGAGAGGTGCTCTCCTGGCTCCTGGGATTATCATGCTTCGCGAGGCTGCAAGGTTAGTACAGTAATACCTTTCAATTTTCATTCCTCCAGTATGCTACTCATTAAAAGGAGGCACCAGCCCTGAAGATTGCGTAGTGCTCAATTCCTGGAGGTTTTGTGTAACTGGATCACATACTGTATTTAAAGGCATTTTGAAAAATGTCAATGCCCCCCAGTGCCACTTGTTAAGAAATATTGGCTCCATTAATAGTGCCCCCCTGCAATTTTTGTGCCTGAAGTCAGGGATTTGTTATCCATAGAGTCCTTAGTTTATCACTTTGTAATATTGCATTTTCTGAGAAGGGGGGAGGAAAATGATGAGAGAGGTAAGGAGAGCAAAGGAAATGAGGGAACAGGAGAAGGGGGATGCTGGAGGAGAGCGAGGAGAAATGTGGAAAGTGGGGGAGATTGGAAAAGAAAGTGGGGAAAAGGAAGGGGAGGAGAAGGGAGAGAGGGGGCACTATATTTAATTTTAACAAATTGTTAAGACATATAAATGTCAGTTGGGGAAAGTTCATTAAATTTTATTTTAATTTCTTGTATTGGTTTGCAGCCTTGCAACTGTTCAGGAGCCGGAGCCGAGAGTCGTCAGTGTGACTCTCGCACTGGCCATTGTGTGTGCAATGAAGGTTATGAAGGTGAGCACTGTGGTAAATGCAAGTTTGGATACTTTGGATTCCCAGTATGTGGCCCATGTAGCTGCAACATGGCAGGCACCAACCCACATAATTGTGATAGTAAAGGACGATGCCAGTGTGGTGATGATGGACAGTGCCCATGCAAGGTCAGTAAATCATTAAAATTAAAATGTGTGTCCACACATATTCAATATTTGATAAATATTTCCCTCATATATAAAAAAATATGCTATAATTATTTACACAACATTAAAATAAAGCTTTGAAAATATAATGATTATATTAAGGGGATTAAATTAAGTACTATTTCAAGAGTGAACTTAATGTAGATTCCTGATTTATTTCCTTCACTATTACCTTTCTCCTTATGTGAATTAATGACTTATATGAAAGTAAGAGATGATACTCTTTGCTTAAAGAGTAGGTTATTGTAGAAGTCATGCAACAGTTGGAACATTAGTGTGTTAAGAGTGTGGCTAAGAACAAAAGTTTGTGCCTCGGAGAGAGGCTACGGGATCCAGTAAGTTCAGTAGAACTTCAGTTTCAACCCTTTTACCCTATCGTAGCTCAGTCGATTAAAACAAAAGTTATATTTAGGAAGTGTTCTGTGAAACAAGTGACTGAATATTTTCCAGCATAATCACCTTCAACAAGAAATATGTAGATTTATGTACCCTAGGCCTAATGTAATAGAATTTAAGACATTCTTCATGGCTGTGAATCTTCATGGCTTCTTCATGGCTGAACATTGTGTGAATGTTGGCCTCTAAGTAAAATAAATAATTACCAAGAGAAAGCACTAAGTCAATTTTACTATACAGTATAGGATAAAAGAACAGCTGCATATAGCAAATATCTTGACGTTGAAGAAATGGTTTAATATATATTTGTGATATACTGTACTGTAAGCATTTTGTGATAAGTTAGTACAAATAGAATATTAATCCATAGCATTTCCTTTGCAGTCTAATGTGGTGGGCCATAGGTGTGGTAAGTGTGTGGGCGGGACATTTGGCCTTTCGGTAAACAATCCCTCTGGGTGTACCGGGTGCTACTGCTTCCGAAGAACCAACAAATGCATACAGGCCGACCTCACCTGGTCACAGGTAGGGTTATTACCGGGGATTCAAGTTGGATTGGCAAAGGCAGCAAGGAGGCATTATAGTTGTAGTTTAGGTCATTTATCTTGGGTATTGGGCATTGGTAGTTTTAACAGCTTCAGTAGTGCAAAGTAACTTGTACTGTTAACTTGGATGTTATTGCAAATTATGGTACTTCTCCAACTATAAAAATAACTATATACTATAAAGTATAATGTATGAGTATTTCCATGTATTTCACTTCTAAAATCAAGTGATATTTAGTGTGGATATGATTATACAGTTGCAGTATTTACTAATTATCATTACAAATTGTCTAAAAAATTAAGTAAATTATAATGCCACTTATTTATTCAAGCACCTAAATTAATATGTAATTTAATAAAGAAGTAAAAATATCAATCGTATAGAAAAAGATTTTTAGATAAGGCGATGAGTGTATAGGAAACACCTTTCTGGGCTGGTCAGTGTTAGTAAGGATGAGCCTACAGTGTTGAGTGGATTAGAATACTTTATGGAGGCTTTGCCAATTACCCAATAAATGATGGAAAAATAAAATTAGATCTAAAGGTATAAGGGGTCATGTTTGATTAGTACTCGCCTAGTTGTGCTTGCAGGGGTTGAGCTTTGCTCTTTGGTCCCGCTTTGCAGTGTATAAGTACTGTAGAGTTGTGGATTAAACACACTTTATGTATGTCACTGGGCTAGATAAAATTGTCTAATTAATATGAAATACTGATTATAGAAACCTTGTATAAAGGACAAGGCTACTTGTGATATGCTGCACAGTATATGTAGCAATGCATGGTACTCTACTTTTATGTACAAGTGACTTGAATGAATTCTTTGGTCTTAGACATAATTAGCTTTACAGCAACACATTATAAGTATGTACAATCTATTGTAATACTGTATTATATACATAGATATAGCCTTGAATTGTATTTTGCTTGGCAGTAATATATTACTTTACAAAAAGCTCTATATATTGAGAAATGCATTTTAGTATAGCTTTTTTTTTTTTTAGCTACTCTGCTGTAGAGAAAACCAGCATTGAATATAATGAAATGCCATTTTCTGGGTGAGACCCGGAGGCTCCCTGGAGCTATCCAGGCTGATATGCTAATATTAGACTTTGGCATCAGTCAGTGTGAATGGAGTTCTTAGGCCTACCAGGGACCACGAGCCAGAACATGGCCCCCTCAGAGAGGCACGAGGAGTAATGGCCTATAGAAACCCCCCATGTGGTTGGAAGCATTCTATGTCTGCCATTGACTGGGTCAGGCACCCAGAAAGGTAAGCATCCCAAAACAAACCCCATATTCTGGTTAAGAAATTGCTACCGAGAGCCGAACTAGTGGACAGATCAACCCCCAAACAAAAACAAGCAAACAAGTGTGACATCACCATGTTGCCGCGCCACCGTCTGCGCAGCTCCCTCCTCCCCGGGAGAGGGAATGGGGAGCCCCACATCCCCCGTGCCAGCTACCAAAGACCCCAGTTCTGAGGCTGGATATCAAAAACACGCGAAAAACCGCCGACCAGAGCGAGGGAGGGTTTTTCGCGTGTTTTCGGGAAGGAAGCCGGCAACGCAGCAACCGATGCAAGGCCCCTGGCGGACGAACCCAGCGATCGAGAGAGAGGCAGAAGGGATGGCTCTGAAGAAACCAAAACTGCCGACAAAGCCAAACCCGACCCGCGGGTAGACCATCACGACAAAGTTCAGGCTCCCGCACAAACCCTCGAGCAACCGCAGAGTGACCCAAGAGCCCCAAAAAACAGGCAAAGGTGGGACCGCAGCCGAAGGAGAGACTCCGGAGGGAGGGAGAGACAAGGAAGTGGTCCGAGAGTTCCTCGCAAGACCCAGCCAAGTCCGAACCTGGGAGGGAACCAAATGGGACTTCCTCCAGCTCACCAAGAACCCAAACCTGGTGATCTGGGAAAGAACCAAATTCCTGGCGAGCAGACAAACGGACCGGCTGGGAGCCCAAACCAGCCAGTCGTCAAGGTAGGCCAACACCCGAACACCTAAGAGACGGGCCACCCCGACCCGAGTAAGGCGTGTGAAAACGTGAAGTGCCAGATTCAACCCAAACGGGAGACAACGAAAGTGGTAACTCTGATGCCCTACAACAAAACCGAGCCAGTCCGTAAACCAGTCCCCCTCTCTGAGGGGACCAGGTTCTAACTCGTGGTCCCCAGTAGGCCTTAGAACTCCATTCACACTGACTGATGTCAAAGTCTCATATTAGCATATCAGCCTGGATAGCTCCGGGGAGCCAACGGGGCTTCCCCCAGTAAAGAAGCTGAACAGAATGCAGATAAATGTACTGTATTATATTTTCTTTACACAGTGCATATGCTAAAAGTTTATTTTGTACCAGAATAACCTTGTTTTTAAAGTATTTTTGTTACAGAAACTGCATGAATATTAGTAGTAGTAGTAGTATCAATGAATGCAGCTGTAGCTAACATTACTGTATTGGTCCATAAAACTTCTAACACATTTACAATCAGATTGCTTTTAACATTATTATTATTCCTAATAGTTTTAATATCTTAATATAACTTATAATTACAATACAGTATTGAGATGAGATTCTCAAGTGAAATATTTGCATGTTTTCTTAACACATTAAATGAATGTTATTAAATAAGCTTCCTGTATGGCCTTATTATTATACATTTCTGGACTTGAAGCAAAGAAGAAATTCATTACATTGGAGAAGCTAACTGGATGCAGCATTTAGATCTCGGCTTAGAATAGGTAATTACAGAAATCTTTAACCCATAAATGGCTTGGCTATTTAAGCCTTGCATAAGGTGCACATGACAAAAATAGTTTAACAAATTAAATGTAAAAAATCACATATGGCAATTGGGTCACCGGAGGTAATTTTTAAATTGCAATTGGAGCTATGAAAGGGTTATGGTATCCTCAGGATACTAATGTTGATGATGACTGTGGGTTTAGTTACTATTAAGTTATAATACACTTATAATGGGTTGCACAGTGGTCTACATACTCAGCTTGCAACCAAGGGGATCTAGGTTCAATCCACGGGCAACAAAAAGTGGTTTGGCATGTTTCCTTTTATCTAATACCTCTGTTTACCTAGCAGTAAAATAGGTAGCCAGGACTTGGCAAATTGTAGTGGGTTGCATGTTTCAGAAGGTCAGTAGTTTGCCTAGAGGGAACTCGATAAGTCCAAGTACAGGCTTCCTGCTCTCAACAATTGGAAATAATCCAGGAATATCCAGAAATCCAATGTTGGTGCCATAAAAATATGAGTAAAACAGCATGATAAATTTGTTTTGAATGTATAACATATAATAATTAAGAAGTTGGCTGATGGCAGACATAGGTTTGTGTTATGTTGAAGATTGTCAAAGACTGTGCATAAAAGCTGAGGAGTTACTGTATCATTTTCTCACACCCGGTGCACGCACCCAACTCACTCCTAGGTGGTCCTGGTGTTTCCCCTGGAGCATCCACACTAACATATGTACTCTTTCCAGTGTTGTGACCTCAATTTTCGAGCTACATCGTTCATTTTGGTATCAAATTGTTCTCAATCTAATGACGCGCATTTTAAATCTAGTCCCATAATAATCGAACAGTAAATGGAATTTTAAAAAAATATTTTAATTTTGGACGCAACATGCAATCCCCGCCGGACATCCGTAAGATTATTAAAGGACGCAAACCACGTTGCTGCCAGACGAAATTGTTAAGGAATTAGATATTAAATTGAATCTCTTGTTTAAGGTGTCGAGTGACATTTACACCACAGTACAGTATATGGAAAAAAAATACACCACTCTGCTTTGGTATTGGGTTTAAGGCCTACCATCAGCATGAGGATTACTACAGCCATCACAATAATGTATTGACCAACCAGCAAGTTTAGTCTTGAATATAGTCCAGGACTAAAGTACACTCTCAAGTGTACATACACTGAGAAATGGGCTCCACCTCTTGGTGCATAAACCCCTTGTCTGCATTCAGTACACCACCTTGTAGCCATTGTACTCTCCCATTCTCACCAAATGCCATAAATTCATTATACTGTACATACATGACCACCCTGATTGTATTTTGGTGATAGCATTCTTGATTGTCATTATGCATCATATACCTAGTTAATATTGTAGGAAAATCTATTTATGAAATAGATTTCCGTGCACTCTCCGTGGTGTAGTGGTAAGACGCTCACCTGGCATTCCGCGGGCGCTTTGTCATGGATTCGTATCCTGGCCGGGGAGGATTTACTGGCCACAAATCCTTAACTGTAGCCTCTGTTTAACTCGACAGTAAATTGGGTACTTGTTGTAAAAGAATAATTCTTCGTGGGGGTCGTATTCCAGGGAACATAGGATAAAGGACTTGCCCGAAACGCTATGCGTACTAGTGGTTGTACAAGAATGTAAGAACTCTATATATATATATATATATATATATATATATATATATATATAACAATTAGATCTGTGAATATTAACAATGTGTTAGATTAGAATCTTTGTGAAAGTGGATAACTAGAAAAACCACTATTTATATACTGAATTTAATTTCTTTCTTTATTATGCACCCCATACCCATCTCGTGGGCGGTGGTGTAAAGGATTACAGAGGTACATAATCGGTTCAGGAACTGAACCCTCTAGTTTGTTTAGCTAAGCAAATAAGAATCTTTTGATGCTAATTACAAAATTATTAATGTTATATATACATGTACACATACTCATACATCCATGTACATATATATACACATACATATTTAATCACCCACACATATACACACATCAATAATCTTTTGTCACAAGTGATTCAGCAAGAGGCTCACAAGTCACTATACAAGGCACTTTACATCTATAGTGAGTCACACAGTTACTAGTCTTGCTGCACACCCACCCAACTGGGCAGCAGCTTTACAGTCATGTGCATGCATTACCTACATTAAGCAAATTTTGGATACTTTGCTAAGATTTCGGGCAGCACATCATTATGAATGAAGTACTCATACATTTCTTGGACACTATTGTTGGTGTTATCTCTAAATTCCAAAAAAATTTCACATTCCATTATATAATGACACAAAGTATGTGAATAGTTCTGCTGACAGCATTTACATTTAGTCAAATCTACATCAGCAGATGTTACAAATTCCGAGAGGTACTTGTAGCCGAGCCTTAGCCTAACAGTGGTAACATCTAGAAATCTGCTAACCTTATTGGATGAGCCATAGACGTGCAGTACTTCCTGCATAATAGAATGATGATGTACTGAAATAGGAATTTTTTCAGAACTATTTAGTGAAGTTACATATTTATTCTAAAATGACTGCTTCCCAGAATATTAGTGCTCAATAAATCTCTGGACGCTTTATTAATTAGCACATCATTAAAATGGGAATTCCATGTTCCCATGTGAGCTAGACCTTATCAATGAGCTGTTAGCAATCTCGTGTTTTTATATTAATTGCCAGCAAACATTTAAACACTTGGATACCAGCTACTGTCTTGTAATTTAACTTACATGTGCTGTTCTTTTTTGAGGGGTTTTAGAAGAACTGCAGTTTTAAGAGCTTCTTCAATTTGTTTTTAAAATTTTATTGCATTCTTACCTGTACCATACTTGATTTCATTAACTTGCTACTCGTACTAGTGGTTGTACAAGAATGTAACAACCTGTATATATCTTGTACATATATATAAGTGCTAGTTGAGGTACTTCAAAAAAATATCAGTCCATCCAACCACTCGGAGGTCCATCCATATAAATGCAGTATGTATGGGGTGGTGGGTAGTTGGTTTTGACTTGGCAGGTCAACAAGCAGTTGTGAAATCTCGCTTAACAATCACTTACGATGTCAAGTTAGGATTCCGTTGGCAACATAACTAAATCTTCCTCATTATAGTTTAGTTATGTTGGTCCTGAGTCATTCAGCTGTTTGATTTTGAATGCTTTACTGCTGTGTTGCATAAAGTATAGTAGTACAATACATCAAAAAGATCTGGAGTTACTGTTATACAGTTTTATGCTTTGTTTTTACCCGTGTGCCTTGGTATGTACGATCTGTACAGCCTTTCCTCATGTTAATTGAAAGCTTCCAGGTTCAATTTCCATTGTAGTACAGAGATGTTTAGGCACGTTTCGGTTCACCTAGCAGTAGATAGGTAGCCGGCAGTTAAACAACTGTTGTACATTGCATCCTGGGAAAGGTCATTGGGTCATCGGTCATTGCCTATTGGGACCTTGATAAGCCTGATGGGCTTCCTGTTCCCAACAGTGGAAAACCATATACAGTAGTCTTATCATAATTTGTTTATATTATATTTGACACTAATAGTGCTGCATGCCAGCATCTTTTTTTTATTTGCTTAACTTTGAAAAGTGCTTTCACTTGTTTTCCCTAAAGTATCTCCTTAGTTGACATGCAGTCATCTAGTCTCTGCATTAAGTTACATCTAATCTCTGCAGTATTAGGTACTTCAGTAAATCCACTATACACAACAAACATTTGTTATTTGTTTTTAAGAGGTAATCATTAGGATGCTTTAGAGCTTCTTTCCTAGAGTAATTCCCTTTTTCACTATCAAACACACAAATTTCTCAGGCTCTCATAATGCTCACTGAAGTTTCTGGGGGGGGAGCCCCTTCGGCGCCCCGGAGCAATCCAGGCTGATATGTATATCCCTAAACTTTGGCATCAGTCAGTGTGAATGGAGTTCTAGGCCTACCGGAGACTACTAGCCAGAATCTGGCCCCCTCAGAGAGGCACGAGGAACAATGGCCTATAGAATGCACATGGGATTTGAGCATTCCATATCTGCCATTGCCTGGGATAGGCACCCAAAAAGGTAAGCACCTCAAAACAAACTACTATTCTGGTGAAAATGACTGAAATAGACAAACGAGTGGACAGAACTCCCCAAATGAAAACGAGCAAACGAGTATGACGTCACACAAGCCGCGCCTCTTGTCTGCACAGCTCCTCTCTCCCTGGGAGGGGGGGAAGAGGGAGCCCCAGACCTCCGCGCCGGCGATCCACCCTGCAGTTTTTCGGCTGATATGGCATGGTCGTGGCTCCAGCTCCAGACTCTGTGTTGTTCAGTGCCTTGGATCCAGTACTTCTCTTACGGTGGCGTGCAAGCTGGGAGTAATGTTCACAGGAACTCAGGCTGCATGTGCATTGGGTTCCCTTCCCCGAGTGCCCTATAAGTACTGTTCTTGGAGCTTGGGGTTATCTTCCACAAGTCATCTTGGAGTCTACCTCTGTTGGTCTTTTGCTGTTCGGTGATTGACCGCCCTGAGTGTGTTGGGGGGTTTCCTCCCTTATTTGCCTTGGGGTAAGTGATAGTTTTTGCACTAGTGGGGCACAGGGTACTGAGTGTGTTGGGGGGGCGCCAAGACAGGAAGACGCCACCTTGATGGCGTCTTCTTGACTCGGGCATGTCGTGACCGTTGATGTGTTGTTGTGCATTGTCATATATGCATTTTTCTACATTCCCACTCGTGCAGTCATCGGGAAGATATGTCTTCATGCAAACTGCACGTATTGCGAAGAAGAACTTTTTCAAACCTCTTTTCTTGTTGGCAATGGCCTCTGGGGGTCGGGTTGGAGAGCTTCATGCTCGCCTCCTGTGCAGGGGTTTCTGCTTTTGGTTGTGGTGATTGGTTTGTTCGTTTGCAGCCGTCTCCTTCTTTTCTGGCGAAGAATGAGACTGCTGCTTTCCGGAGGGGTCCTTGGGTTGTTGATGCTTGGGTGGTTAGGCTGGGGGTGCATCTTGTGTTGTTTCCGGTTGCGGCTGTCCTCTGTTATTTGCGTGCCATGGCCTCTGTGGCTGGGGATGCTCTTTGGGTTGTTCCAGTTTCCCTTCTTTCCTGTTCTTGGGTTCGGGTCTCTCAGGTCGTCTGCAGGGTTATTCGGTCTAGCCAGCCTGTGGTCTATCCCCGTGCCCATGACGTTAGTAAGTTTGCTGTGCTTGCTGTCGTCTTCGGTAACATGTCCTGGGCTGACATTCTGGCATGGGGTTTTTGGCGGTCGAACAGGGTCCTGGCTGCACGCTACCTCCTGAATGTTCCTGGGGCTAGTCAGGCCTGTGATGCTTTGGGTCGGCAGTTGCAGCCTGTTGCCTTGACTTCGAGTTGAGATGTGAGCACCAGCCCCCTCCCGGGTAAGTCCCTCTGTTTTTATCTTTGGTGAAGTAGCTCCGGGGAGCCGAAGGGGCTCCCCCCAGGAAACCAGCGTTGAATGTAATGAAACGCCATTTTCTGGGCGAGTCCCGGAGGCTCCCTGGCAACCCTCCCTCCCTCTGGTTGGCGTTTTTTTCATGTGTTTCAGACATCCAGCCTCAGAACCACAGGTTGGATCGCCAGTGCAGAGGTCTGGGGCTCCCTCTTTCCCCTCCCAGGGAGAGAGGAGCTGCACAGACATGCGGCGCAGCTCATGTGACATCATGCTCGCTTGCTCATTTTCAATTGGGAAGTTCTGTCCACTTGATTATCTATTTTAGTCGTTTTCACCAGAATAAGAGTTTGTTTTGAGGCGCTTACCTTTCTGGGTGCCTGTCCCAGTCGATGGCAGATATGGAATGCTGTAAATCCCATGTGCATTCCATAGCCCATTACTCCTTAGGCCTCTCTGAGGGGGGCCAGGTTCTGGCTCGTGGTCCCCGGTAGGCCTAGAACTCCATTCACACTTATGCCAAAGTTTAGGGATATACATATCAGCCTGGATAGCTCCTGGGAGCCTCCGGGACTCGCCCAGAAAATGGCGTTTCATTACCTTCAACGCTGTTTTTTTCAGCTTCCAAACCACCACTGTATTTATATATATTCATGCACTACCTTAAGCTAAGATTTGGTTACCATAAACTCTCAATTCTTTCTCACAGTACCCAAAAATACATCCTTCATTTTACATGACCATCTTAATAGACTCACATTCCGCACCATCCTCAACACCACCTTTACAGCTGCGGATGTGGGGTCGGAGGGTACTGACCGTCAAGTACCGAAAACCTGTGGCTGGAGAACGACCTTTTCGCCCGCCCATTGTGGTAGTCCGTCCCTGGAACACGCAGGAGATATGCTATATCAATGTAATTACTGACAACTGTAAACCCCATACATGCTTTACTTGACTCTTCATGCAGTATATCATTATACTCTTAAAGTGTTTTAAGCTTTTAGTGTTGTAGTTTTCCCTCAGGTCTGTTCTGACACGCTGTTCACTGTGGATGCTGTTGATTCATTTATTTTGTCTTTTGTCCAACAGGTACAGTATATAAGATATTATGCTTAATGTTCAGCTAACTGTATATTTATGAATGTTTTCTTGCTGTCTGCGACTTATTATTGCTATTAAGAAGCTGCTTTTTGTCATCTTATTTTTTTATTGTAATCTTTATTTTTTTTTTTTTTTAAGGAACTTGATTTCTGTGATCTCATGATCCACATTTTTTGTTTGAGAGATATATAATAATTATACAGTAGTGTCATTATAAAAGTTTTATTAGCTAATTCTTCCTTCATCACATTAAATAAACATACGGTACAGTAATTGCTTTCTTGGTCATGCTACAAAGAATGTTTTGAAGACATATTTTGTTTAATCCCGTGCACACTACAAACTTGTGAGGCCGTGTTAAGGAAACACTGTTACAATGCTGCTTCGTCCTTATTTTGGCTAGCACAATTATATCAAAACATGTGCAGTGTTGTAATTTATGAATCATTTTTCGTGAAACCCAACTCCAATTAATCATATTTTGTTATGAATTGAAGTTAGTAATTTTTTCTGTATGCAGTATTTGCCAATGTATTCCCAGTAAACTGTCAACACTTACTATTTGGAATAAGTGATGTTCTTAAGAATGTAGTTTAATATTTCTCTGTTGCTTTTAACAGTTAGCTCTTCCTGGAGAAAGAGGTTTAAACTTTGGAGATGGTGAAACGAGACTGAACATAACCAACCAGTTGCACGTCATCCCTGGTACCGAGGGGGATGTAACCATTGACTCCTCACTCCTGTTTGACGCTCCACTTTACTGGCAACTGCCTCGGGAATTCATGAGAGATAAGGTTGGTTTGTTGCAAATATTATACAGTATTGATAAGAATTTTATTTTTTCTTTGATTAATACATTTAGAAAATGTGTGTAAGAAACATGAAGAATATTTTGAAAAACTGGCCAATTTCAAAAATACAGTAGAAGAATGTTATCACTGGATTTAGGTGGAGGTGAATTAGATGGTATTAAGGAACACTAGAGTGAAGTATGAGTTGGTGAATTAAGAGAGTATAAAAGTTTAATATGGAAACATTTGTGGCACTAATCGATTCTTGTAACTAGATACAGTAATTGAAAAGGATGGATTTTGGGAAATGTTTACATGTATGTAGGTGGTAACTTCCCTACTATAATAGACACTTTAAAGAAGAATGTAAGAATTCTCAAGGATTTACTTTGGCACATACATAAAGTTTATCATAATCAATGAAGCACAAGTAGTGGTGGGTGTCTGTGCTGCTATGGGGCTCACTCACTATGTTAAAGTTTGATTTTTTTTATTATCTACTGTATTGATTTTGTTCTGCTAATAATGCAAGATCCAAAAAATACTCAAGCACAATAATTGGGAGTTAGCAACAGTATAGAAAGAGTTCACTTCTTATTTCCAATCACTTAATGAGATGAAATTGAGCAAGATAAATAATTTGTGTCCAAGTCATCTGTGTACAGTGGAAAGCGAATGGATGTGGTGACAGTTCTGGCGCCTAGGAGCATCTTTATCTAGCAGGAAGGAAGAGCCAAGAAGTGGTAGTCCTAGCCATTTGGGCATCTGTATTTTGTGGGGAGTAAGTAGCAGATTGTAGCCTGCTGGCATGTCTGCACCTATGAAGAGCCAAACCATGAAAACCCTCTCTGGACACTTCCCACCAAACATCATGTGTAAAAACAGTGGAATCATGCTTGTAAATGAGAAGGGAAATACAGCCATCCTTAACCAGATAGTAAACACCATCAAGCCATGAAACGCCATCAAGCCATGATACTAACACCCATGAAGGGTCAAGAAACCCAGACCACCTCCTCCTCTGTGAATGCCTCATACCAAACCACATTGCCCACAAAGAAAAGGATTAACTGGCTGATGAACCCTGCTCTGGTAGGTACAGCATCCTAACCCAAGCCAATGCTGTTGCATAATCCTGTCCATTGTGACCCTAAGTGATCTTCCCTTAAGGAACTGTGTCATACTCTGAAAAAGGTATTTTCATATTCACTCGTAGCCAGATTGTTTGTGTATTTAACTATATTTTGTATACATTTGTCTTAAGTTCAGTTCCGTGAATATATGAGCCCACTTGACTGAAATTTTTCTAATTTTTCTGGTGTAACTGAACTCGCCTAGATTATACCACTGAAGATGATTCTTACAGCGATTTACATCCAGACTTCTGTTCAGGTATATTCATTTTGAGCAGGATTCCACTAATTGTAACCTTCATCATTACATTAAATGCGTGCAAATAAAGTAATAATTTTTGCAGGTCAGATCATACAATGGCTATCTGAGGTTCCGTGTTCAGAGTGAAGGTGGCAACAAGATCTTTCCCGAGCACATTCTTCAGTCGTATCCGCTTGTGTCCCTGCAGGGCAACTGGCAGCTAGTGTTGGAGTATTTCCCACCCTCCATATCTCCTGATGGCAGATATGAAGTCAAGTTGGTTACATTTAATACTATTGTTATTGCTTAAATTTGTTTCTCAAAACTTAGTTGTATTTACACGCTACATGATCATGTTAATTTAGAACAACAATGTTAAGAAAACACTATGGTATATTAAAACTAAATTCACTCATTATTTTAAGTTATATCCAAAATATTTTGTGTAATTAGTGGCATTATAAAATACTGTATACAAATACTAAACATACTAGGAAATTTTAACATTGTATATCTTATAATCAAATTATTATTATTATCATGGTCATAATACATTTTTTTTTCTCGCAAAATCATTGGAGCACTTAGGGGATTCAAACCAGTATTTTGGGTTACCCCAGCTGCATGCCTTAACTCACTGGACCACAGTAAGCTATAAGTAATTTGATCTGGGATCTTACTGAATCCACTAGGGTAGTCATGTCAAACATGCAGCCCGTGGGCTGCATTCGGTCTTTTGCAAGCACACCTTCGGCTTGCATAAGGGTTACTGTAATTTGGTATATAATATAATATAATAGAAAAATATTCAGCAATAATTTTTATTAAATGACTTAAATTAGTTGTCGTGTGGCCCTCATGATAACATAAATGTGACCTATATAGCCCTTGGAGAACCCTCAGTTTGACATGCCTGTGCTAGGGGTCTTGAAGGACCGAGCTGATGCCAAATTATGCTTTTACCAATTACCCGTGTAGACTCTGCTACGGCTACAGGAGTTGCCCACCATTCGCTCCCATTAAATACACACTGGGAAATTGCAATGGTGTGATGTATCACTGTGCAAAAATCATTGGAGCAAGGGTTCCAAGGGTACAAAGGTTGAGAAGTGTAGGTCTGGATTATTACAGGTATCTGACTTGCATTGCTGAACTAGCTTCCTGTCCTCATTGAGGCCAATAGAGAGATTTACCTAGCCCCTCGGGAAAATTCAAGGTAACATTCGGTGGAAGGTATCTATATTGGGCAGGTGTAAATATTACAAATGATGATAATAATAATAATAACAATAATAATAATAATTTGTTTAGGAACAGTACATACATAGTTGCAGAGTTACAGTACAAACATTCTGTTAGATTTAAAGATAGAGGTAGTACATACAATAGACATTTGATAAATGTTTATACACAACATACCATACAATACAATAGTCTGTAGTTCACAACGAAAGGTCACAAATATGACAAAAATTATGGTGAAATACTTAACAAAAATTTGAGTAAATAGTACATCTCTCTGTTTATTTTAATTTTACTTTAATAACATATGTGCCTGAATTCTCAAATTGTGTTTACAAATTACTGTGTCATTTCCATTCATCAAACTAAAAATATTAATCATTATTGTCCTCGACTTCAGATTACATGAAGATTACTGGCGGTTGAAGAACAAGCCACAGAAGGTTACTCGTGAAATGATGATGATTGCCTTGCAGAATATTCAGCACATACTCATTCGTGCTACTCATGCTGCAGATGCAGCAACTGCGTCGTAAGTAGAATTATAAGACACGTGAATTCTCTTCTACCAATATCTCTGCTTTGTACGACAGAGTGGAAATAGATGAATGGGTAAGTATAAGTTTAATAAAGGGAAAATAAATGGTAAAATAAGTAGCAAAAAAGGTGCATGATTTTTTTTCCATTAAAGTCATGGTCAGGTAGTTGGAGGATGGCTTGTGCGCCAAGGGTGGGAAGAAGCTGCTGATAGAGGACAACAAGGCCAGAGTGCCAAAGCAGGACACTGAGAAATTGGAGTTGTTTGAAGGTAGATGTATGAAGCTTCTGCAAGTCGATCAAGGTGGCTGGCTCGTGTATTCTTTAGTGTCTCACGTGCCCCAGTATCACCAGGGAAGAGCATTGTACTGGAATGTACAAACTTACCAGCCCTGGCTGTGTCTGGTTCTCCCCTTGGGTAGAGCATATATTGCCTAAGGAGGCAACCAAGTACTGTACTATAGAATAATGTGTGCTTGCTTAAGTATCAAGAGTCGAGTACAGTATATCATGTCAAGCCTATTATGTATAGCATCATGGTGCTCTTTTAAAGGTCTAAAATATAATTGGTAAGGCATTCTTAGATTATATCACATTTAACTAAGGATGAGTAAAGCTGCTTATACAGTACAGGTATATAATCCTACATATTTTAGCTTTACATTTAGTTAATGCAATAGTTGTTTTGTACTATACTTCTTAAGTATATTTGGCTTTTGACAGTGTCACATGTGATACAATGTTCTTACTTATATCCAATTTTGTTCTAAATTGGTGATCTGTAGTGTTCACGATGTGACTTTGGACGTTGCTGCTGAAGGTTCGCCCGTGTCATCTCGGGTAGCCCTGGGAGTAGAACAGTGCTTCTGCCCAGCAAACTATACAGGAACTTCCTGTCAAAATCCTAATATTGGTTTGTATTTAATTTTAATAATTCCATATTCAGTTCAGTATATATTTTTCATGTTAATAATAGCAACAATATTCATTGTTACCTTCATCTGTTTTTATAGCCTTTTTTTATTTATCTTTTTATTCATTGATATTTGAACTACATCTTCAAATAACAATAAACTTCTTCAGTTGACTATGCTAAAAAAAAGTTCTGTGTAGAAAGTGAAATGGTAATTGGAAAATATGAAAATACAATAATGTAGTATGGCCCAGCCTACCATATTCTAGGGGGAAAATGATAAATAATATACTGTACATACTGACTAAAAAAAAATATCACATTGTAAATTTACAGGATATTATCGCTGGCACAAAAATAACTACATTCAATCTACTATTATAATTGATTTGGTGGGAGAGTCACGCCAGTGTCGATGTAATGGACGCTCTGAGACGTGTGATGCTGAAACTGGTATTTGTAAGGTAAGATGCTCTTGAGTTTTGCTCATTATTCTGCTTGAAACATGGGCATTAGGCAAGGGTATTCAACAGGGAAAGGGTAACTGGAAAAATCAAATAAGTGATAAGGGAAACAAATCAGTGTGAGCCTGAAATGAAGCTGACTGAAATAAAGTAGGTAGAGAAAAGGAATTGATTGAAAATTAATAAAGGAAGCACTGTCACAGTGACCAGATTTCCATTAGGATATATATTATAAAATGTCTTGGAGTATAGATGAATTCAAAGGTATGAGAAGGGAAAGGATTGCCTCCAAAAGGTGATTGAATGGAGCAAAACAGATGGTAAAAAGAGTTCAGAAATGCTAGAAAAATAAATGATGACATTGAGAGTAAGTTTTGTCAATAAAAAGGAATATATCCAAGGAAGACAGGAAACAATTAAAATAACTTGGAGAAATCAAAAAGGCTGAATGAAAAAAGGAATGATGAAAAAAATATTTTCCAAGATGATAGGACTCGGAAAGCTGCAGTGAGGTGCAGTAAAAAGCAATGGTAAATTGGAAGAAACAAGTGGAGAGAGAGAGAGAGTGAGTGAGTTTTTATAGGATACAGTATAACAAGTTTAACAACACTGGAGCTAAGCAATTTAATACTGTAACAAAGAAAAGACAGGATATTGTTACTGTGTCAGGAAACAAATGATATTCTATTCAACAGTCTATCCTAAGTCAGTAACTTAACCCTTAACATGCTCGGGGCTTAATATCCTGTCATCCCCACAGGCGCATGTCATTTTGAAAAAAAAAAAAATTATTTTTTCTTCCTAACCTGTTCATTTGTGTTCACTGATCACGGGAAAAATAATAAAAAAATCGTAAGTGGCATATATAATGCCCACTATAGGGCGAGGAAGTCTGGCAAATTATAGGCGCTGACTCAGCGTGCGTCCCAGGCGGTCTGTTGCTCGCAAGCTGTCAGGCTGGAGTTGCCACAAAGATAATTACCGAATTATTTCAATGTCTCTGATTTTTCATACTTTTTTTGCTGTAATATTATTCAATAGTGTGTAGTTTGATATATTTATATAATAACATGAGTGAATCATTGCTGTAATAAAAAATATGGTGTGCATATTGTTGATTCAATTATGTTCATCAATCAGTGAACAAATACTTTGTCGGTTATTACATTATAAGCACAGGTTATATATAAGTATCTGCATGTTTTGTTCACTATAATGAACCCCTAAGTAGCTATTATGAGTCAAAAAGTAACGAGGAGTGACCGCCGTTTACCAGCCAGCCACTCCCGCCCTCCCTCCAGTCATCTGACTCACCCACATTCTCCTCCCACAATAATGTTTTTGCTATAATTCACTATATACAGACGTTATATTAAAGTATCTACATGTTTTGTTCACCATAACTGTACATCTAAGCTTGTATGGTGAGTAAAGGCACAAAGATGTGGCTACTCACACAGTCAGCTGATCAGTGGCCGCCCTCAAGACCAGACGCACTAATATTTCTCCTCCAACAATACTGTGTGGTGTTATTACGCTATATACACACATTATATATAAATATCTACCTGTTTTATTCACCATACTTGTACAAATAAACTGGTATGGTGCCCAAAGACCATCGTGGTAACCAGTAAACAACACCGTCGTCTGCACGGTGGCATCGTGCAGATGACGCCACCACCCTCACCAAAATGGTGGCTCCAAACCTTCTCTTGCTTTTTATACCCTCTATACACACGTTATATATAAGTATCTACATTTGTTTTCACCATAGCGAACCACTAAGCTGGTATGCTGAGTGCAGTCAATAAAAGGTGGCCACACACAGTCAAAAGACATCGCCACCACCCTCCCTCCCACAGCATTACTCCTCCCTCCATGGCGCACAGCGCCAAATATCACCACAATCCTGCTATTATCAGAACCCTGGTCAGTTTTATCACAGTCAAGGGTCTTCTGTAATAATATCATCGCTACATAATAGCATGAACAAGTATAATTTGGCATTTTTAGGCGATGCTGTGGTCACAAGCTGAACAGCAGTGCTGTTAGCTCATGCTGCATGCGTCAGGCTTAGTTGCTCACTCAATACTGAGGCCAATAATACCCAGGAGTTTGGCCCACGATTTTTTTAAAAAATGGCGTCTGTTTACAAGAGCCCTGATGAAGGTGTGGTGAACCCCGTGTATCCGCGGGCTGTTTAAATCTTGCGTAGTACTCCAACACATCATATGACGTGATGCGCAGTTGACTGGAACAACGTCTAGCACGTCATATGACGTGATGCGCACTTTAAGGGTTAATACAGTATAATTTTTCAGAACTGCCGAGACAACACAATGGGGAATCACTGCGATGTTTGTGTTACTGGATATTACGGTCAGCCTGCTGCAGGGCGATGCAAGCCCTGTGCGTGCCCTTCACTAGAACAAAATTTTGCAGAAACTTGTCAGGCTGATCGGTATGCCGGTTACATCTGCCACTGCCGCACTGGGTACACCAGTGCTAAGTGTGACAGGTAAGGTTTAATCCTATATGTTAATCTGCCTCTTCTGTTTGATCTTTTTCCAACTAAATACAGTAGAATGAACTAAGTAGACAACCTCATTTTTGTACGTAACCCCAAGTAACGTTAACTGTTTTTTCACATGTTTGTGGCGAGGCACGAGTTAATAAATAAATAAATAAAATAAATTTGGGGCTATTAATGGGATTTTCTAAACATTTTATTAGATGTGATTATGGCTACTATGGAAGGCCATCACAGCATGGTGGATATTGTCGGCCTTGTGGTTGTGATCCATTTGGCAGTGTTCATGAAGGATGTGACCAAGATGGAGTGTGCACATGCAAAAAGGGAATTACTGGAAAAGACTGTTCCCAATGTGCACCAAGGCATGTCACCTCTGCAACAGGCTGCAAATGTAAGTATTGAACTTTTGGGGAAAGATGTACACCATTTCTGAGCCTAAGTTACTACCTTAGGAAATATCCCATTATCCCAGAGACAGTGCAAACTCAAGCCTTGGTTAGTGCAACCTTCTCATATCTCCTGCAGCAGGAAATCTTTCAAAATTTCTCCACAGGGCCATATCTGAAGGAATGGAGACACTAGAGTCTCTATTCTCTGTCCATCCCTGAGAGCAAAAATGCACATACTGTATACACTTAAAACCCTCCTCCAAGTATGTAATCATTGAAAGCAAAGAAACTGCTAGTTAACAGCCACCCATCACCAGTTGGCAGCAGCGGTCATGCATATATAGGCAGTGTTAGGTTAAAGGGGGGGGGGCTGCCTCACTGTCATGATGCTATAGATGCCAACATTCACATTTGTGCACCACACATTATTGTGCTTGGCTTCAAATAGCTGAAGAAAAGTGTTCATGCGTGAGGGAAATTTTGGGATGAAATGACTGGAGCAGGATATAGGGGAGTGGTGTAATTACCTAAGTGTAGTTACAGGATGAGAGCTACGCTCGTGGTGTCCCGTCTTCCCAGGACTCTTTGTCATATAACGCTTTGAAACTACTGACGGTCTTGGCCTCCACCACCTTCTCCCCTAACTTGTTCCAACCGTCTACCACGATCACAGAACTGCGATCAGTGTGATATTACAGGACACCAGGTTGGAAGTGGGATATTGTCTAAGGAAGCGACTGTGTTACCAGATCAGAAAGGAGCATTTTCTCTACACTTGGTTTTATTTCTTTCTCATTTAAAAATTTGTAATTTTATTACGAAAATATAATGTGAAGCACAATAATATAGTCCTGAAAACATTGAATTTATAACATAATGGAATACATATTTATTAATGACTGCCGAGTTCCTTGTCCGAAACTCGGGAAGGAATCGCACTGCGATGCCTAGGTTTGATGCATCAAACCTAGGATAAACAACTGAAGAGTAGGATTGTTTGTCATTATAGTCTATATAGCTACAGAGATCACTCTGTAATATTACAATTCCAAATTTAATCTTTCTTTCCTTAGATTATGCTAGTTGCTGTAGAGAGTGAATCTTAACTGATATTGCCATGCAATCATTTAATTAATGAAATATAATACTATACTAATGATAATATATTAAACAATTATATCAATAATAAACTACGCCATTGGATAAAATGTAGTCGGCTTTTATTTTTATTTTCCCTCGTGTAACACAACAGCTATGTGACCAGATTCTTGGTTTTGCAGCATGTGAAGATGGTTGTGTGAATATGCTGCTTGATGAAGTAGAAGAGATGATTAGAGCTGCCACCTCCATCAATGTAACTGGCTATATACCTGCTCCTTGGCCCATGCTCAAAGAGGTATTATTGTCCATTTAACTTGAAATAATAATAATAATAATAATAATAATACCTGGTAATAATAATCGGATTTTGTCAAAGTTTTGCTACATTGGATGAGACATTAATTGTTAAAACAAGCAAATTTTATCTAACCCCATTGTAGCTAATCTTAAATTATTAAATTATTGTTGAGTAAATCGGTATTTCCTTATACTGTATTTATACTGAAATATTTGCAATTCAACAAATTAGTTAAAAATTCATTATTCCTATTCTTTCATGTATTGGTACAGTCAGGGTGGGGCCCAGTAGTACAGTGAGGTTCGTTTTCGACTTGCAATTGGGAATTCCGAGTTCGAATCCTGGCCAGAACAGAAATGGTTCTGCACATTTACTATCACCTAATGCACCTGTTCACCAGGCAGTAAATAGGTATCAAGGAATTAGTCAATTCCTGGGTACTGTTGAGGCGTTGTATCCTAGGGAAAGTTGATAATTTGACCCTGGAGGTACCTCAATATAAGCCTAACATGTATATATACACTGGCTGCCTGTCCCCCAACACACTGAATTATTATAATCTGACATGGAATCTTCAAGCAGTTCTTCCATTTAGTAAAAACAAAACAAAAAATTGTAATACACTGAGCAAGATAATGAAGGTAACAATTGTGTCATTTTCAAGTACTGTTTACGCATTTAATATTTTAATTTACTTTCTTTTCAGATTCAAAATGTCACCAGAATCCTGAGGTATCAGCTTGACCGATACCATAGTAATGTTGATGCCTCGCAAAAGCTTGTGGTTGGATTTGATTTAGACTATTATGCCAGAGATCTCTTACGCAGGGTAGGTATGCAATGTTGGTTAACAGACCGATACCAATTATGAAAAGCCAAAGGGAAAATAATCTTTGATATAATGAAACAATAGCATACATGAGTTAGTCATTGTATGCGTTAATTGAAAGTATGGACTTAAAGTAAGGATTAGGCTTATCTTAGCAAGGATGGTTAGGCAAAAAATGAAACGGGTATTTTTTCAGATATAGTATAGAGATACAGTATATCAGATATAGAGGAATACTAGGATAAATATTATAAATGGTATTCTATAAATGCAATTTGAGTTGGGGAAATGCAAGAAACTATCAAGTGGTGATTCAGAGTTAATGTAGCACTTGCTGTGCCACTCTGTTAAGTCAGGTTGGCACTTGCTGTGCCACACCTCGAAAAAAATTGTATCATTTGGAATTAAATTTTTTTTTTTCTGAAGTTTTCAGATGAATAACTCGGACCCTTTCTTGGGGAATTGTCTCGTAGGTCTATGGAATCATCATCTGGCATTTTAGCTATCTTTGAAAATATTTAAAGGAACACGTAAGACATCTTAAGAAATCCACGTTAACTTTCATAGTGTATATTAGACACATTTACCCCTTGCTTATGTTGAAAGAGGGAACTGTAAAGGGTAAAAATGGATGAATATTAAAAGCAGGAAAATGGTGAATGGTAAGTTTCATCTATTAAACTGTGGAGTTTTAAGAAGATATAGAAGACGGTTCGTGTGGCTAGAAGAAAGGATTACAATTGTGGGGAATGGAACTTCTTTCATTTAACCAATTGGTTTAATTCATGCAGCTTGGTTCCAGCATTAGGCCACAGGCCCAGGTCTGTTCATAATATAATTTCAGTATATACAATTATTTTTGTTGTATTCTTCCACTAGATATTCGAACATCAATACACACTGATTGCTTTTTGCCAGGGAGGCTTCTAAGTTGACCTTCCTTATGTCTGGCTTGTTCAAACTGAATATCAGGTCATTATCTTTCATTCATGTGGATCCCTTTGCATGTTGGCTTGGAAAGTTTCTTGTTGGTGCTTGTGTGCCCCAAGGTTTACCAGGTGCTCTCTTGGTGGTTATATGTGATGTAGTGAAAGGGTTCTGTAGGTCTTTCACTTTTATGAATGAGCTGCTGTCGGGCATTTTATACAGAATTGAGTTACAGCATTATGGTTCTCTAGCACCTTGATGCTCCTGCAGAGTGTGTTACCAGCTGTGCCAATCATGAATATAACTGAAAACCATTTTAAGGTGAAATTACCACATATTTTTAAATGTTCTGTTTGTATTGTTGCCTTTAGGCAGAGCAGGTGGAGGTGGCAACAAGAGAAATTTATCCACCAACTGCAAAGATTAAACTTGAGGCGAAGACAGTTTTAGAATTGCTAACAAGTCTTTACACCCAAATCGATGGTAAGTGGAGGTTTATATAATACTGTATTTATATGATTTACATAATGCTGTATTAAATATATAACTAATATTTATATAATACGTACTATAATTATATAATTGGGTAATTACATAAGTGTAGTTAAAGGACGAAAGCAACGCTCATGGTTTCCTGTCTTCCCGGCACTTTGTCCTATAATGCTTTGAAACTACTGACAGTTTTGGTCTACGCATCACTCATACTTTCCACCACTCTGCAAAAGAAAACTTTATAGTATTTTTTGACACCTTTGTTTCCTTAGCTTGAATCTATGACCTCTTATTCTTGAGGTTATATATATATATATATATATATATATATATATATATATATATATATATATATATATATATATATATATATACTGTATAAATAAAATGTACTTTATAATAAAATTAGCTTTTACAAAGTAATGTAAGGTTTATATTCTTTGACCATTGTTAAAATGTATAAAGGGAAAGTGATGCCTATGAGTAATATCTTGTATTATTTAGAGGTGGAAGGATATTTGAAGCTCAGTTTTGTGGATTAATTTTAGCTAATACAATCCTATGGGGTAAAATATTTGAGACAGTGAATATTTCTGTTCTACAGCAAGATTCTATTGACCTCCGCTAGAATATTTGCTTTCTCATAACTCAGTAAACATTTGTTTGCACTTAACCCTTAGTGTAGTGTCTCAGAAGAGTGGTCACCACAAGCTTAATTTTGTCTGTAACTATAATTAGGTAATTAAATATAGATACTGTATATACAAACAATAATTAATTTTTGTTTTTCCTTAGAGACCATTGCATACCTAAAGAACTATGCTATTGGAGAGACTCCTAGTATATCTATTGGTGGTGCCATGCTGGAAGCCGAGAAGATTTTGAAAATTATTCAAAAGCGCAACTTCACCAAGTTTGATATAGGAGCCGAGATAGAACTGAGGTTTGGGACCATATTTAAGTGATTTCTAAGAGCTTTAAATTCTCATCCATTTTAGTTTCTCATTCTAGTTTCTTCAGTGAGACATATGGCTTCACATATGTTTAGATTATTGAAAGTACAGAATAGTGACATTAATGAATATCATTGTTATTGCAAAGAAAATCTATATAGAGTATACTGTACTTCATTAGTTGAATGAGCTGAGAAATTTTCACTTTTCAAATAGTCCTTGCAGATCCATAACAGGTGCTAGGGAGTTATAGGAGCTCACTCAGTCCAGCCCACAATGACCAGAAGAGGTTTCATTCATAAAAACCTCAAAAGCCCTTCTAAATATTGCAACAACATAAATTATCAACTAATAATATTGATCCCTCTTTGCCATGATTTTACATAGTCTAACGTAAAGAAATAATACTTATATCTTAACCAATCCATCAACAGTGACATGCCACAGTGACTTGTTACTGTATAACACCACTCGTGCAGTATCAAGAGTGGTGTAGCCTTCAGCACTCTGTATATACCATAAAAACAATAACAAAGAAGAAACAATACTGGGTTTGGTTTGTATTTAGCTGTGCTCCTATTTTCTCAGTAATGCCATTGTCTCCTCAGCATTAATTGTTTTCTAAGCTTTTAATTTTTAGTCAGCCTGCATCTTGAATTTTGCAAACGTTTTAGTCACGGTTCACATTTAAGGGATTGAGGCCACCTGTTATATTGGTCGCATACCACATTTTGTTAGCAGCCTGTTTTGTTTCGTCTTGTCATTAGTTGCTCATTCAAGATTGTGTACACTCCAGCATATAGGCTCATTATTCTTCTCTCTAATTCCTACAACAAGGGCAAGGCTATGCAACTCTGTGGATGTAGCATGTTGTTAGTTACCATGACTTGGTGTGGGAGTTTTAGATGTTAAATAAGTTGACACAATACCCTCACCTTATTGTCTGTTCACCATCCATGGGCTGTTTATCATATCTGGCTCACATATAGTAAGTTCCTAATTTTTGGATTGTGACTGACAGCTATGTACCTGTGCTGCATATTCTTTTGGTCTGGAATGCTCTGTAAGGTTTTGCTGATGCACCAGTTATCTTGTTGTTCTGTGCCACCAATCAGTATGACAATCCATGGTGCACAGTCAGGGAGGTTCAGGTGTTGGCCCTGTTTGTTTCAAGAAGTATGTAGTGTTTGGAAAGGCTTTTGAATTTTGTTTAATAGAACAACCACTGGTCATTCTGGGTTGGAATGAATATTTTCCAATTCTCCCTATCGATTCTTATAACCCTTCAAGGACAGGTTTGAAAAGAATCCCTGTGGTGGCAGCGCCAAAATGCTGTCCTGCTGAACTATTAGTAGTTTTGTTTCATAGAGACTGGGGATCTTACCTTAAGAGTGCAATGAATAATTCTGCTCAGAAAGGTTCTTTTCATATTAAAAATTGCCTCATTTCCTCTTTGTAGCAAGGCTAAAATATTGCTAGACCGGATAGTAAAAATGGACCAAAAAACCCCTGTGATTGAAGCACTTCAGATTCGCATAAAGGATATTGACAGTAAACTTAAAGAACTTCTTCAGAGAATAAAAGCAGCTAATAGCAAAACAGATGAGGTAAGTCCAGCACATTTTGTAATATAATTACTGTATTTAAAGTTTTTAAATGGGTTATATCATAAGTAAGATATCTGTACAAAATATGACAAAAAAACCAACGTTGAATGTAATGAAACGCCATTTTCTGGGTGAGACCCGGAGGCTCCCAGGAGCTTACGGGGCTCCCCCCAGAAATACATTGTCTATTCACAAAAGAAGCTTTTAACATGATAAAATATTATTGATGTAGTTATTTATATTTTAAGTTAGCAGAAGTAACTACATTGCTTGATGAATATACTGAGAATAATATCTAAGAAGATAATTTATTTTGTATTCATAACAGACTTTAAGGTCGTAGGTTAAAATAGAGGATGCTCTGTTGTGTAATTACCCTGTGAAAGACCTTGTATAAAATTAAGATACTTTTCAATAAAATATTTCAATTATATGAGTATTAAACTGATCATGTTTTTTTCTTTTAGGCAGGTTCACTGAATGAAAGTAACCGCAAAAGACTTTCTCGTGTAAAGGAGTATTCAACTGAAATCAAGAACACTCGTCAAATGGTTGATGATCAAAACTTCAACTCAACCCAGCTGCTGAAAGAAGCTAACAAGAACCTTATTAACATCAGAATTAATTATGATGTGTGTAGTGCTCAATAACATGTGTTCATATATTGTTCATACGAAAAGTATTCTAGTAGAATTATGAGCCTAAAGAAATTTGTAATTCATATATTTGTTGATACAATTTAATAATTAAAATGGTTCAAATAAAGTTTTGCACAGATATTACACCTTCTGTGTAATATAATTATTGGCAATGTCTTACTCTCTTGGGAAACTGTTAAAGTTTTGACAATTGCAAGGGGGAAATGGACGGGCTGGAATTGTCAGATTTTAAAGTATGCTTTATTTGCCTTATTAGAACAAAAGTGATTAACACGTGTAGGATTTTGATGACTGCCAGTTGATACATAATGCATGCTTTTTCTGAATGTATACAAATAATTGAAAGACTTGTAGGAGGATATTAATATGCATTTTCAGGTATTTTCTGAGGCAAACTAGGCACACTACAGCTACAATTCATATTTTAAACTTGGGGACAATATATGATTTCCCCATGAGTAAATACAGCGTGTTGTTATTCATGACTAGGATATTAGAAATATATTTTCTGTGAGTTTTAACTTTTAAGTATTATAGCTTATAAGTATATTTGGAAGCATGCTGTGACATGATGAAATGTTTATATAACAAATGTATCTCTTATTTAGGAACTTGCCAAAATGTTAATTGATTTGAGAAATGGATCCAACTATCTTGAAGAATTTGAGGGTGTCTTGTGGCGACTCAACATTGAATATAAGGACAAATATGTCCAGAGAGCCCATGACCATGCAATGGAGCTTATGAGAGAATCGATTAGATTGGAAAGGTTTGTATGTTTTATGTATTTTCAGATTTGATCTTAAATATACAGTATATTATTTATTTATTCATGAGATACAAGAAAAACCACTTTTTCATTTATAATTTATATTATTGTGATGCAGAACTCTATAGATAGAAAAATATAAATTGGTAATAATACTCTTTCTGAAGTATGGCTCCTCCAGAAAGTCTTGTAACCAACTCCTGTATGGAGTTGGTTACAAGACTACCCGAGTCACCGGTTACAGACTACCCGGTTACACCAGAGTCTTATCAGACAGGCTCTCATGACTCTTGTCCCCCTTCATGACAGGCACCTTTTCAAATGGTGTTGTCACATACTTTGGGAAGAGAGGGGGGGTGAGGCTGACTCAAGCCATCACTCACATCAGTTCATTGTAACACAAAATAATGAATAACATTTTTTGATGAAGTTCACCAGCAAGCAAAATTTTGACAGCCAATTATTCTGTAAACTACTGCTAGTAGTACATCAAAGCACAGTCTTTCATGGTGCAGTGGTAGTACACTTGCCCTGCGCCTCCCCAGCAATTTCATCTTGGGTTTGAGCCCTGGCTTGGGGAAGATTGACTGGGCACGAATCGATTGACTGGGCACGAATCCTGAATTGTTTGCCCCTACGCAACCAATAATAATTATCCAGAAAAATGTAATCGGGTAAGGCTTACACGAGCTATGGGAAGGAAAAACTTTGCTTCTATCTCTGTCTTCTACTCGATAACTCATTACCCAATTAAGTTCAGTTTCTTTTGTCTGGGCTTTCTTTGCAACACTATCAGCACGAGGAATATTCCATGATTTTAGTGTTAGCTTTACGGCTTGGTTTACCAGTGTTTTGCATGCTACTGACTATAGTTACCTCCTGTAACTATGATGGTGGATGATTGCCATTGATATATTTCTGAGGATTTTTGGTGATTTCAGCATCGTTTTGCTTTATTTCAGTTGTATAGTACTAGTTCCTTGGCGGTCTTGGGTTGACCATACCCAAGCTGGCTATGAGCTCATCAAAGGATTTGGCTCAGACAAAAGAATTACCCACTACCCTCAACATCCTATTTTTTTTTTTTTTTGTCAATGTTGTTTAAGTACTGTATACTTAAATTCTGTAGTACTGTAGTCCTAATTATTTCATTATGTTATCATGCAGTCTGTTCAACAAAACAAGAGATGTTGCTGATGGGCCTCTACGAGCAGCTAAAGCCTACCAGAGGATTGTGGATGCTTTGCTGAGTGCTGAGGAGGCTGCTAAGAATGCCTCACTGGCTGCTGAGACTGCCTATATAGTGGTAAGTTATTACAATGGACAGATAATTTTTAAAAATCCTTAAGACATTGCTATGATAGTAACACAAGTTTTGATTATTAATTGTTAAAATACATTATGCAGTACTATTTAGGTATGAGCTTATCTCTACCTCTTCTCTGTCATTGTCACATTTATAACTGGAAACTCCTAATTTGAAGGGGCTGCTGAGGTGTGGTAGCTGTATAAATAACTACATAATGTCGCCTGCTTCTATTCTCTCTCTCCTAAATTGGTAATGGTAAAACAGCATTTTATTGCATTTGGGAAGTCATCCCGTAATTTAAAACTTTGTATGGCACATTATAGTAGAGTTACTCTCTTGGAACATCAATTGTATACTAATTTCTAGTGAGGGGTCTGTGTTCTGTTGCAGCTTTCTAAGAAGCATTTGACATCAGCATTGATAATGTACTCGTAAAAATGAGTGCAATGCATTTATATTTCATATGTTCAAGGATTTAAATAAAGGTAATGCATGCTGTCTGAGGTTGGAGTTTGTTATTGCTCTCGTTGTAATATTTTATTATATTTTCTTGCTAAGAATAATTAATATTACAGGCATACCCTGGGGATCCGGAAGAATCACTCGTGCGCCGAGCAATTCTGTCGTTTCAGAAATCAAACGAGTTACATTCCAAAGGTGAAAAATCGAAGAAGACTTTAGGGCAACTGTATGTGGAATTGGATTCTCAGCGTAGTGCACTTGGAACTGCAAGGGGAATTCTGGATGTAACTGATGACCGTTTGAATGCTTTGAATACTCTTTTAAAAACCCAGCTTTCTTCAAGTGAGTTTAAGCAGTTATCTTTGGCTTGTTGTTGAGATTAAGGCCTAGTAACTGTGGAAGGGTTATTAAGGCCACCACAAGAGCTTATTGAAAAGCCAGGAAGCATACTATAATTTTGCCCTGAACACAGTCCAGGATTAAATTAAACTTGAAGTGTAGATTTACTAAAAAGGAAGCACTCTTCACCTCTTGGTCCATATACAGTACCTCTTTTAACAAAAATTAATATGTGCTTCATGAGTATGAATTCACTGTTACATAATACAGCTATTATTCAATCTATATTTCTTGATACTAATTTCATTTATAATCACCAGTGAGTCAAATAAAATATCAGACATTTTGTGTAATGAAATGCCCTTTTCTGGTGGACCACTCGACAACTCCCCAAGGTGTCGCTGGGGCTGCAATGCCTTAGGGAGTTGCACGAGGACTACGAGACCTATACTCAAGCCTACTAGAAGCCAGGACAATAATCTATCTCGGTACAGTACAAGATAAGGGAGGTTGGGGGATCAGAATTCAACCCAAAACCCACCAGAAAGTATGTGTTTCAAAACAAGCAGCTGCTTGAAGGGAATTAGTAACCCTGAGGAACACAAAGCAAACAGTTGTTGCCATGGATTTAATCACCCCCATTTAATTAAATTAAATTAATTTAATTTAATTGGATAAGCACCTCCAAAGGATACCTGATCAACCAGGCTGTGACTCATACGTCAGGCTGCGAGCAGCTGCGTCCAACAGCCTGGTTGATCAGTCCAGCAACCAGGAGGCCTGGTTGACGACCGGGCCGTGGGGATGCTAAGCCCCGGAAGCACCTCAAGGTAACCTCGAGGTAACCCCATCTGTGATGTGCCCCGGCTGTCACTAGATGGCAGCCCAGGTCACCCAAGGCTAGCCAATCAACACTTCTATGTTTTCCTATAGTGCTGTGTTATTTCTTCTAAGTTGATGTTGTCTTCCACCATGAATGTGAGATATTGGGTTATGATGATGATAAATATAATGACTTCAGTATTATCAGCCATACATGTCAATGCCTTGCAACATGTGTTTCATGTCAATATTTCAAATTAGTTTAAAATATAAAAATAATCTATTAAACAAATCTCACAGTAGCATGAAATAACACATCAATTATTGATAGACAATAGTTTACTAAGCAAATTTTGACGAAATATCAATTGTGGTACAGTATCATTTGATAGTCACATAACCCCAATTATATATCTTCTTGGAGCAGTAATATGGAAGTCTGGGGCAGTTTTGACTGCAGTTCAAGCTCTGCATTATTCTTAAAAAATTAATTATGATACATTAAACATATATGTATATACTTTAATATCATATGCAATAGTTTTATCAATCATTTCTGAATGTTTGTTGCAGGTATCTCCTCAGATATTCGGGAATCACTGGAGAGAACTCGAACTACCCATGCCAATGTTCAGAGAACTTTGGACCACGTAAACACGATACATATGAACCTTACCATCATTAGAGAGCGTGCACAAGAACTTAACCGTATTGATGCCTCTCTTCTCAATGAAATTAGGGACAAAAGTAAGCAAATTAAGTGATGTACAATATGTATATTTTTTATCGATAATGTGATATAAAACACTCAACTTGCGTTTATAAGAGCATAAGAATACAGGAAACTGTAGAGTTTAAATGTTTTTTTGGTAGGTAAAGATTTAACAAAAACACGAGTACTGTATTTAAGTTAAATAAGGAAGAATTGGGAAAATTAAAATTTATGTAAAGCTGTGTAAACCTGTGTAAAGTGATAGTATTATTAAGCTGAGATAAGCTTACTGATGAGTATTTGGTAACATAAAATACATGATGGAAAAAGTGTGTTGATGCTAGAGGATGACATTATAGATGAACGAGGTCAGTGAATGTACTCAAAAGAGAATGGGGTGTTTCAGGTTGTTGCTTCAGGTAAGTAATGACCTACTAAATATAATACAACTTTTCTTCTGAGTAAAATAAGTATATGGAATTAATTTTTTACTGGTGAATAAGGAATGCAAGTAAATGTGAATTTTGTTTGGTATTAAGCAACTACTGTAGGTTGTATCATGGGGAGAAGGTCAGTAGTTGACCTACAGCAGCAATTCTGAACCTTTGTACCCTTGAAATAATTCTGGATCATACTTAAGATAAACACCCATGGATTTCATTGTCAACTGAAAGGAGACAATTTCTGCCTTTGTTTCTGATACTGGTTAAATGATAAAAATTAAACACAAAAATTACTCAAAAATACAATTGCATGTGATTAGGATTAGACTATTTATCTGTGTGCAAAATCCCTGGTTACCTCAGGGGTTCTGTTGAACCCCAGTTGAGAAAAGCTGAGCTAGAGGAAACTCAATAAGCCTCCTGTCCCCCAATGATGGGAATTAAGTCATCTTTGTTTTGCTAAAATAAGCACAGATTGGGGATGCTTGGAATGCTACACAGATGAGAGTGGAGCTTGAGCTACAGTAATACTGTTGAAGGAAAACATGTTTACTCATTGGTTTCTGTCCTTAGTATCGACAGGAGAAAGTCATACCATGAAAGGGGTTCGCTTGGCAAATAATCTCCGGAAGACTGTTGACAGAATTGAGAATCGGGGAAATGAATTAAGAGAAAGGATCGAGGCCCTCAAGAGGAAAATTAAGCAGACAAGACAGTATGCATCTTCAGTAAGTTTGTCTACTTTTATTAGTGGTGTTCCTCCTTGCTTTTCTCTCCATTATGTTCCTCTTCACTTTCCTCTTGGCTCTTTTGTGAAGTGTGTCAACAAATTAATCACAATTATCTGTTGTAGTTCTCTCTTTTGTCTGGTATTAAATTTTATTTCATTAAACTTGCCCTCTATGGTTAGTATTTAGAATACATGAATTCTAGTACAGTATTCAAAAGTCTTGCCATGAAAGGAAGCCTTTCACTATACTACATTCTCAATTTTTATTTTGCATAGATGCTCTATTTGCAGCAGATTTTTCCATGTCTCCTAATGCTTTCCCAACACCCATCATCTTTGTAAATATGTTACAAGCCCCTATTTGCCACCTCATATTTTGTGACATTTCTTTCTCATATGGGTCCTCATTTTGTTCAGTATCTTTGAATATAATTCTCGATATATTTTTTATATTTTTTCGTATATAAAATATCATTGTATTTTGTTATGTTTAAGCCTGCTTTTGCTCTCACTGTTAATTTTTTTTCAGATTCGTGTATCCCTCACCACCAATTCTTCTGGAATATGTACAAGAAAGTATCGACCCTCGCTTCAGCCATCGACAACAACCAGTATTATGCTCAGCTATGCTATCAGTAGTTCGGAAAGAAATGCACTTTTGATGTACCTTGGTTCTCATAACTCGGTCAGTAATAAGTACTTTGAATATCACCGTAGTGCTCATTAATCTATAGGAGTTTCCTATCCTGTAATGAAGATTAATTTTCACCATATTATTTATAAAGTTTTGCAATTATCTCAATTTATTGTATGGCTGTGAAATAAAATGAAGGCTTGGATGTGCATTTGGTAAGAAATAATCGGCTATTAGCAGGATACCACAATATTAATATTTTCTATAATTTTTACAGAGTGATTTCATGGCTGTGGAGATGGTAAATCGTAAAGTTGAATTTTCTTGGGATGCTGGCGGGGGAGTTCAACGCATCAGTCACCCGCTGCGTCTCTTGACCAACACGCCTCAAGTTACCGATGACACAAGATGGTACGAAAGAAGTTTAAGAATGCTCTTAAGTTATGATTTTACATACAGGCAATACTATAAGTAATGTTTATTGTTTTGTTATTTGTTTACAGTAACTAGCAGGAAAATGCTAATTCCAAATACTGGAAACCAAAATGTTTGTTAAAACAGATACAGATAAAGCCTGTGATATATAGTCACATATTCAGACGGTCTTAGTACAAAACATTTGCATTGTTCATATTGCTTTGAACAAGAGCACAGTCATAAAGTTCTTATAGTAATTGTACTTATACAATACAATATTTGAATTATATATATGAGACAACCTACATCATAATGATATTGAAAATAACTCAAGTAGACACTACAGTGTGCACTGTAATGTACTCACTCGTATGCAAAGAGTAAACAGGTCCCAGTTAATGCTTATACATATTTACCTTACAGAAGCACTTACACAGTAGCTACAAACTTGTCAGGCATACAAGTCTAGAATTTAGAGGGCCTGCTCTGCCACCATTTTTGTAGCTTGGAACTATGTTTGCCTTTTCCATATATTATATATATATTCCATAAATTATACTTGCTAAGATTTCTGTACATAAAATGTCCGAAAAATAAATTTAAGTGGTTCTGGGTAGTCGACCGTCACCAGAGGAACACATAAAGGACATTGTGCGAGGAGCATGTTCTACGCTTTCCATCTTCAGAATTGCTTTTAAATATATGGATAGTGAAATAATAAAAAAAAAATGTTCGTGACTTGTGAGTCCAAAATTGGAACATGCAGCGATTGTATGGTGCCATATCTCGTGAGACATTTCAATAAACTGGAAAAGGTGAAAAGGCATGCTACAAAATGGCTTCTGGAACTGAAAAAAGTACTGTGAAGAGAGGCTAGAGGTATTAAATATGCCAAAGATAACAGAAAAGGGGGGCAATATGATCACTACATACAAAATAGTAACAGCATTCAACAAAACAGACAAAGCTGAATTCTTGAAATGTGCAATTCAAGAACAAGATGTCATAGATTCAAGCTAAGGAAACAAAGGTGCCAAAAAAAATTGTTAAAAAGTTTTCTTTTGCAAACAGTTGTAGATGAAACAAATTAAGCGAAAAGGTGGTGGGTACCGGAACCATCAGTAGTTTCAGAGTGTCATAAGACAAAGAGTACTGGGAAGACAAGACACTGCAAGCATAGCTTTCATCTTATAAGTGTAATTACAGGATAAGAGCTATGCTCTCATTACACTCTAATTACACAATAGTACTGTCTCACAATAGCACTGTCTCTTATCACTACTACCTGGTAATTATTGTGCTTCATATTTTGCTCTGCCTAGGGCTTTACTTTATTGTAGTTCTAAGTGTTGTAGTCATGAGGTCTTCATTTAGGAATGTGTTTACCCAGCTCCTGCTGAGAAGGATTACTTGTCAGTAGACCTAAGCTGTCAGGTCATACACTTAATGCCTTGGTGTTGATGGTCCCCTTCTCAGCTGTTTTGGGTTCTGGGCACCTCCTTCTCATCATATGTGGAGAATTCAGAGTCCCTGGTCCAGTTTCTATAAAGGTCTGATCCTTGGGACTAGATATTGGTCACTCAATTCCCACTTCAAGAACCCTAATCTCAACCTTCAACAGGTGTTATCCAGCATATCCAAGTGTCATGCTGAATTTTATTCAAACCTGCTCTAACTATGGAAATGTTTTGTATAAAAGCTCCAAACCAAATCTTCTACTGTACATAGAATTTGACTAGTCATTCATGCTTTCATCCCAAGGTACCACATCACTATCAATCGCATTGGAAATATTGGACAGCTATCTGTCACACCGGCAAATATTGAAGGCAATATTTTTGAAGCAGAGACAACCGTTAGTGATGCTTCTCCTCCAGGTTTTAGTATGATGGATCTGCTGCCTACTGATGTTCTTTGGATTGGTGAGTGTGATTTAAGTGCAAGCAAATACAGTATGCCTGTACACATAAGTTGCTTCATTAATCATTTTGAACATTTACTGTCTTTTATAATTTAAATAATATATAAAAATGTTAACACAAGTCAACAATGAAAAGTACATATAATTTTTTCTTAATCAGGTGGAGTTCCTCAAAGAGCACAGAACCTAGTGAAAACCCAAATGTTTGCTGGTTGCCTACATACTCTTTCAATAGATGGGGAATATATTGGTCTGTGGAACTTCACCGAGTCTGAAGGTTGTGGAGCCTGCAATGAAGGGTGAGTAATATTAATGATCTGTAATATTAATTTTCTGTAACCACTATATGGTTCTCTATTGTCAGGGAGAGAAAGTCAGCTGTTAGGCTTTATGCAGGCTCAAGATAAGCCAGTGACCAACCTTCCCTAGAATGCAGCCCGTAACAGATGCGTAACTTCTGCGTACCTGTTTACTTGTAGGTGTGATTTTAACCCCTTTACACCAAAATTATCCGAATAAAAGTTTAAATTTACAGTCGCTAACTATTTTCCTTCATTCATATTTATGTATAAAAATAGAGAGGATCTGATTTTTGCATTAGATCATGTGTACTATACAATATTTGAATTATATATATGAGACAACCTACATCATAATGATATTGAAAATAACTCAAGTAGACACTACAGTGTGCACTGTAATGTACTCACTCGTATGCAAAGAGTAAACAGGTCCCAGTTAATGCTTATACATATTTACCTTACAGAAGCACTTACACAGTAGCTACAAACTTGTCAGGCATACAAGTCTAGAATTTAGAGGGCCTGCTCTGCCACCATTTTTGTAGCTTGGAACTATGTTTGCCTTTTCCATATATTATATATATATTCCATAAATTATACTTGCTAAGATTTCTGTACATAAAATGTCCGAAAAATAAATTTAAGTGGTTCTGGGTAGTCGACCGTCACCAGAGGAACACATAAAGGACATTGTGCGAGGAGCATGTTCTACGCTTTCCATCTTCAGAATTGCTTTTAAATATATGGATAGTGAAATAATAAAAAAAAAATGTTCGTGACTTGTGAGTCCAAAATTGGAACATGCAGCGATTGTATGGTGCCATATCTCGTGAGACATTTCAATAAACTGGAAAAGGTGAAAAGGCATGCTACAAAATGGCTTCTGGAACTGAAAAAAGTACTGTGAAGAGAGGCTAGAGGTATTAAATATGCCAAAGATAACAGAAAAGGGAGCAATATGATCACTACATACAAAATAGTAACAGCATTCAACAAAACAGACAAAGCTGAATTCTTGAAATGTGCAATTCAAGAACAAGATGTCATAGATTCAAGCTAAGGAAACAAAGGTGCCAAAAAAAATTGTTAAAAAGTTTTCTTTTGCAAACAGTCGTAGATAAAACAAATTAAGCGAAAAGGTGGTGGGTACCGGAACCATCAGTAGTTTCAGAGTGTCATAAGACAAAGAGTACTGGGAAGACAAGACACTGCAAGCATAGCTTTCATCTTATAAGTGTAATTACAGGATAAGAGCTATGCTCTCATTACACTCTAATTACACAATAGTACTGTCTCACAATAGCACTGTCTCTTATCACTACTACCTGGTAATTATTGTGCTTCATATTTTGCTCTGCCTAAGTCTTTACTTTGTTGTAGTTCTGAGTGTTGTAGTCATGAGGTCTTCATTTAGGAATGTGTTTACCCAGCTCTTGCTGAGAATGATTACTTGTCAGTAGACCTAAGCTGTCAGGTCACACACTTAATGCCTTGGTGGTGGTGGTCCCCATTCTCAGCTGTTTTGGGTTCTGGGCACCGCCTTATCATATGTGGAGAATTCAGAGTCCCTGGTCCAGTTTCTATAAAGTTCTGATCCTTGGGACTAGATATTGGTCACTCAATTCCCACTTCAAGAACCCTAATCTCAACTTTCAACAGGTGTCATCCAGCATATCCAAGTGTCATGCTGAATTTTATTCAAACCTGCTCTGTGGAAATGTTTTGTATAAAAGCTCCAAAACAAATCTTCTGCTGTACTTAGAATTTGACTAGTCATTCATGCTTTCATCCCAAGGTACCACATCACTATCAATCGCATTGGAAATATCGGACAGCTATCTGTCACACCGGCAAATATTGAAGGCAATATTTTTGAAGCAGAGACAACTGTTAGTGATGCTTCTCCTCCAGGTTTTAGTATGATGGATCTGCTGCCTACTGATGTTCTTTGGATTGGTGAGTGTGATTTAAGTGCAAGCAAATACAGTATGCCTGTATACATAAGTTGTTTCATTAATCATTTTGAACATTTCTGTCTTTTATAATGTAAATAATATATTAAAATGTTAACACAAGTCAACAATGAAAAGTATATATAATTTTTTCTTAACCAGGTGGAGTTCCTCAAAGAGCACAGAACCTAGTGAAAACCCAAATGTTTGCTGGTTGCCTACATACTCTTTCAATAGATGGGGAATATATTGGTCTGTGGAACTTCACTGAGTCTGAAGGTTGTGGAGCCTGCAATGAAGGGTGAGTAATATTAATGATCTGTAATATTAATTTTCTGTAACCACTATATGGTTCTCTATTGTCAGGGAGAGAAAGTCAGCTGTTAGGCTTTATGCAGGCTCAAGATAAGCCAGTGACCAACCTTCCCTAGAATGCAGCCCGTAACAGATGCGTAACTTCTGCGTACCTGTTTACTTGTAGGTGTGATTTTAACCCCTTTACACCAAAATTATCCGAATAAAAGTTTAAATTTACAGTCGCTAACTATTTTCCTTCATTCATATTTATGTATAAAAATAGAGAGGATCTGATTTTTGCATTAGATCATGTGTACTTATTCAGCACCAAATGTTTAAGACTGAAGGTAATCTGAACAGTAGGTAAATGTATTTTTAATTATCATGTGTAGCATCCTAGGTATTGCAGAGCTTAATACACTTGTAATATTGCAGGGAGGAATTAATATTAAAAGCAGACGAAATAGCTCTTGGATTCAATGGCAAGGGTTACTTCAAGGGTACAAATAGAATAAGAAGACCAAAAGAATATTACAATACAGTCTTGGCTTTCAAGACTCTGGATGAAGATGCTCTCCTCTTCTTAGCTGTTAATGAAGCCAAGGTGAGCACTTATGATGATGATGATAATGTTTGTTTACAAAATACACTTGGAACATGATAAAGTTGAGCGTTCACAAATTGAGTAGTTCAGAAGTATGAAATGTTGATTATAAAGTCACTAATATGCAGAGTACTGTATCTCCAATGGATATTGAATTCCATTGCACTTTATAGAAGATAATTACTGTTATATGCAACTTTACTCCTATAACTTGATTTTTAAAGTTGATAATGTGCATATACAATAAATATATTAAAATTTGTATACATATTCACTGAAATTGGAACTGATTTTTAATTTAAAAAGTAATGAATATTACACAAAACAATCATGTCTCCACTGTAGGCCTCTTATGATTTGGGATATTAAGTTACCATTACTTCAGGTCATTCCAGTCAAACTTGTATTAATATTTGATTTATACAATATACACAGGATCACTTACAGTGGATTTGATGTTATGGGTAATAAATGTCAATGTCCACAGAACCAGTTCTTCAGTATTGCCTTGGATAATGGCCATGTTGTTTTCACCGTGCAATTTGATCCTCAAACTCGCCTCGTGATGAAATCTAGCAAGCAGCTAAACAATAATGATGATATGGTCCAGATCCAAGCTATTGTGCAGAACAAAGACCGAGGTAAATAATGTGAGCTGTTTGTCATTTGTTTCCAAAACATCACTAGCGTCTGTATTCATATTTATTTATAAACCTTCTCTTGTCTCATTATTGCTTCTCTCTCCTTATGCTTATTCTTTCTGAATGCATTAAGCACCCATGTATATTAAATATGACCGAAAAAGTAAGATTAATAATTCTAACACGAATTTTTTCAATATTTCTTATGTTTCTTTTTACTGTCGATGGTAATTGAAAAATCAATTCTCCAAAATTCATTTTTATTTCTAGTCTGCCACGACGCTTGAACGCGTTTCGTAATAACTTATTACATTTTCAAAGACTTTAGTTTACACACACACAACTGTAACCTGAAAACACTAAAGAGAGTTTTACTTAATGCTAACATTGAACAGCTTGTCTTATATACTCGCATTTGGGTGAGGTGATTTGTTGCAACAGTTTTGGATGAGGTGAACAAACTTTTGACCAACACAAGACAGAACACGGTGCAATGGGTATAAATTGGATAAATGAGAGGGAAGAATGGAAGTAACTGCAAAGGGCCTATTAGCCCATATTTCCTCTTGATGCTAATATATTGGTACGGAGTCTTGAAGTGGGTAGAATATAGTTGTGCATTAATTGGCCGTTGATTGCTGGTGTTGGCGTTTTGATGTGTAGTGCCTCGCAGATGTCAAGCCACCTGTTATTGCTGTATCCATCGATACAGATAGATAAGCAAGATATTTGCTTGAACACATCAACACATTAATGAGCCTGCAGGGAGAGTTTGAAAAGTTCCCTATGGCATTTGTGCAGTATATCATCATACCTGACTACATACTGTCCAATGAATGCAGCTGAATTTCAACTTTGGGAGACACATAATTATCCACTTCAAAAAGGCTTTATATGTAATTCATAGCTTGATACTGTATTTAAGATAAAAATGCTTTCAATCTTTTTACCTAATTTCCTGTATGTCTTGATTTAATCTTTTACAAAATGTTTTCAGTGCCACGAATGAATTTTATATAATATTTAATTTTTACTTGTATAAGATGGTGCACGAATGGGTCGACTTGTTGTTGGTGACCAAGACCAGTTGGGAACAGTGAAGGGAGGGCCAGACCTTGATCTTTCCTATGTACCCTATTATTTTGGTGGTGTTGATCCAGAATTTAACAAACAAAGGTTAGTATTTTTATTTCAGCATTAAGCAAAATTTTTAAGTATGTAGATGTTTGTGTGACATTACCTAAATGTAGTTACAGGATAAGAGCTGCACTCGTGGTGTCCCGTCTTCCCAGTATTCATTGCCATATGATGCTTTGAAGCTATGGATGGTTTTGGCATCCACCACCTAACTTGTTCCAACCATCTACCACTCGGTTTGCAATATGAGAGCTTTCTAATATTTTTTGGCACCTTTATTTCCTTAGCTTGAATCTATGCACTTTTGTTGCGGGTTTCAAGAATTGCCTGTTGTCAATTTTGTAGTCCTGTTTCTATTTTGTATGTAGTGATCATATTGCCTCTTTGTTTTATCTTCTAGCTTTAGCATAGTCAATACCTCTAGCCTCTCCTCATAGCTCTTGTTTTCAGTTCCGGAAGCCATTTAGTAACATGTCTTTGCAGTTTATTGATGTGCTTCTTGAGATATGAGCATCTCTACAAATTCCAATTTTAATCTCACTAAAGTTGTAAACAATTTCTCTAATATTTCATCATCCATATACTTAAAAACAATTCTGAAGTTGGAAAGCGTAGCATATGCACCTTGTACAATGTTCTTTTATGTGGTCCTCTGGTGACGGTCGACTATCCAGAACCACTCCTAGATCTTTCTTTCTTGGAGTTCTTTAACGTCTTTTCACATAATTTGTAGTTGCGTGTGTGGCATATTCCTGTTCCACAATGAAGAATGTGGCATTTTTCAAAATGAATTGCATCTATCAAGCGTTATTACATACTTTTATTTTGTCCAGGTGATCTTGAAGGGCATGACAATCATCTTAAGCGTCTTATTTTTCCTAGTAGTATAGCATCATCAGCAAACATGTTCCTATAATTCTGCATTCCTTCTAGTAAATCGTTCATATAGATTGAACATTACCAGTGCTATAACTGAACTCTATAGTACTCCACTAGTAACCAGTCTAATACATTTCCTTTGATTATCCATTCATTTTTCTCTCAGAACATTTGTCATCCATGTCAGAAGTGTTCTTTATCCATGTGATGTGATCACTCTTACAATCATTGGAGAAGACAGAATACCTAGTTTGGTCCAAATTCAAGTTTGGCTGGCACTGTGCCATTTACCACAGTTTTCAAAGAGCCAAACATTTGAGTGCCTGAAGTATTCAGATGGCACTGTATTTTTATCTAGGAAGTTGCCAACTAATCAAATTATGTATGATACAGCCTATTGGATAATTGTTTATTCTTTAGTAATCAGGTTTTGGGAATCTTTGTCATGAATCCCAGAATGATTCTGTACTATAATCCCAGTGTTCTGCAGTTCTCTAAAACTAACTGATCAAAGTGATGGTGATATGATATACATATATACAGGTATTTATATTACGACAGTGTCAGACCACGGAGGAAAATTTATTAATAAGATGCCAATTTTCCTCCGTGTTCTGACACTGTCACATTTTTAATCACGTGTTTATTTTCGTGATTTACACACATATTTATATTATATTATATTACATTACATTATATTATATTGTCAAATTTCACCATCAGATGGGGCAGCGAGTTAATTCTGCGTTCACTTCTTGGCTGTATGACGGGACTGAGTGTGTTGGATGAAGGCAAAAATCCACTTACTGATGGACAGTATTATGGTGTTGAGCAATCATGTTCTGAAAAGGTACCAATGATCATTTTTCTTTTGACTATTTTTTAATTCTATGTATTCATTTATCCATCTACACCTATCCATTCCTCCCTCCACCCTAACCAAGTTACCCTCCTGTCTGTAACATAACAGGTTTTGTAATTGTTACAGGTCATGTCTTTTGCTGATAACTGGTACAATGAAAATGCCATTACAAATTATTTGTGATTTAATTTGATATTTCAGAATTTGATAGTGATATATTAACTGATAATGAAGGATGAATTTATTAATACACGGTACTCTCTTCTACAGCCATTAAATGATGTAGGCTTCCTCGGGCAAGGATATGTTGAACTTGAGTCGCATGTTCTTAAGCGTGACTCAAACTTTGGATTCACATTCCAAACCATGGAAGCAGATGCCTTGTTAATGGTTTCTACGTTCATAGGACAGGTAAACTTATATTGCATAACTCTGAATATCTGTGCTATGAATAGTTGGTTTTAAGTAGTTTGAGTTTGAATGTTCATCGTTTGCAGTTACCTGAGGGAAATTTCTTATTATTGCTATATTATTGTATGTACTGAATTCTTGTTGGGTAAATTTAAATAATGGTTTCATACCTTTTTTGTTGCTAAATAGGCATGCTTTAAATTTGATTAATAATTTAGGGGATTTGAGAGTGAAAGCTTAAGTTCTCATTACCCTCAACACTTTGTAACAAGTTACTTTGTTACATTAATAATATTTTAAATACAGTGGTGATATACTACACAATTACAAAACATAAAATATTTAAGGTCCATCACTATATTTTCCAAGCTCTCTAAGGCAAGATCTTACTCACCCTTTGTAAGGACATACCACATGAAGGTCTCAATGGTACAGTCTGATTCATTCTTGACTCACAATCAGGAATCCTGGGTTCAAGTCCTGAGTAGGACAGAAATGGTTAAACATGCTTCCTTTTGCCTAATGAGTCTGTTCACCTAGCAGTAAATAAGTACCTGGGAGTTAGTCAACTGTTATAAGGTGGTTGCATCCTGGGGAGGGTCAGTAGTTCGACCTGAGGGGAGGGGGGGGGAATCGGTATAAGCTTAACGTATGTACATTCATAGACTGCCCTACTCGAACAAAATGAACTACTTGTATTATTATTAATTATTATGCACTGCAACAACACAGTGGGAGGTTAACAAACTACCCGGTTGATTCAAGGGATCCCTTGTGTTCCAGTCTACTGAGCTGCAAACATTAATACATGCAATCCACATCCACCTTCTGTCCATGCAGATCCATGTGTGCATCCGAGCAGGTCCCTGGTGGACTGGATATCACAAGTTTGAAAATGAGCAAGTGTAAGCTAAATTCTAGGAGCAAATCAACAGGGAGAATCTTGCCTTAGAGAGCAACTGGATTGGATTACTCAGAAATATTAATATTTTAACACTTTGGTAACATTGCAAGAAAGAAATACAAATATCACATTCTTGAGAGAATTGGGTTATGCAACATTGCTCACTCTGGATGTTTAACCCCACACCTTATAGGGTGTTGCAGAAAGACATCTGGCATATATGGAACAAAAACAAAATGTTTCATTTGCATACATCATTTCTATTTTATGAATTATTCACAATGAAGGAGAAAACATCAGAATGAAATTTGAAGGACAGAGTTAATCTGGGATGCTGTAATGTCTCCGGATGGTGGAAACGTATGCATATAGCGCAAGGTCCTGAGTAAGTATTACAACAATATTCAGAGAGGCATTTAGCTGTATTATGAGAGAACTTAATTCATGTGTTTTGTCATTTCCAAACACCCAGGTCTAACAAGTAATCCTGACTGTATGTACTAATTGATGGAAAATTCCCCTTAAAGGACAATGAAACAGACGGAGACATGACTACTCCAACAACCACCACCACCACCACTACCACAATACCCACTGTACGCTATGGTGAAGGGAGTACTGTACTTTGGTTACAACAGCAGATGACTAAACCTTACATAGATTAACACAACTATTGCTTAACAACTAATATTTATGCTCTTTTAGTGTAAATATATTAGCAGGCGAGATGAGCCTGGTGAACACATTTTCATTTTCTTCTGCTAATAACTTAATAATCCTTCACCTTAATAACTCAACAATAAGGATTTCTTTGACTTGCTACACAAGTTTCATTTGATATTCTTAAATAACACTGTTGTATACCTCATTGTAATGGAAACCCTAATTTAGTCTACTACGTTTTCTCTTAGAAAAGATAACAATCTAATGTTCAAGCCTTCATAAGACTAGTATTGTATGGCATGAATCATACATATCAGAGAACGAAGTAGTTACTGTACGCATCAGCAGGTTCTAAAATCACATTGCGAGTTTAGTTACAGTTGTAGTAATTGAAATAATCAATTTTGCATTTGCTTTGCTAATTATTGATGCCAATTTAATGCACTGTAATATCTGTATGATTATTCAATTATATTTAAGTTATCTTTTATATTAGAGTTTGTATTTAAATATATTTGAATGTTCTGTATGTGATGGGCATTATATCTTGTGAAACAGAGCCTATAGATTTTTTTAGGTTGAGGTTTGTTGTCCAACTTGCTTATTGTATTCAGTGTCTATAAAAGCTGTGCTTACCTAATTATCTCTAAGAGCCCCACATCCTGGCTACTATACCTGGTACATTTGTTCCTCCTGATATTCAAATACTCTTGTTGTATCTGAAAAGCTGTCAGTCGTGAAGCCTTCTATGGTCATTAGGAATAAGTGGATGCTGAGGCACTGGAGAATAATTTGAGAGTAGGAGAGAAAGGACAAGAAGATGGGCAAACATGTAAAGTGCAGAAGGAAGTGGGGGACTGAGGGTGACCAGGGCATCAAACTTTGTGACAATCTTTCACAATCTTTCTGGATTGTGCAGAGTAAATGTTTAGAACTTTCGTATATGATAACTTACGAGGCGTATTATACACCAAATTTTATGTAGAAATGGGGTACTATTGTGGATGATATGTTGAAGTGTTGCGGTGTTGGGTCTCCATAATGCTGTTCAATATGTAAAATATGATCAGTGAATGTGTGTCACTTTTAATAATTTTACCTTCCCTTCCTATCCTTCCTTTCCGACACTTCTCTATCTTCTACCTGATGCTTTCCCACCCCACAAAAGTAGAAATGCAGTAATGATAAGTTTTAAACAATTTGTACCACCCAAAACTGAAGTGTACTTTCAGAGATTAGTGACAGTTGATGGCAAACATGTGTGTTATATATGTATCATGCATCTTCATACAATAATTGTCAAGATTGTATCTTTCTTTAAATCTTAGTAGCATAAACATACTTGATTTTTCTCAAGATACTTTCATTAATATTTTCATTAACGTTGTAGGCCCCAAAATTTACCTCTTGGGGGCATGAAGTTTTTCCTCTTTTTACAACCCCTTTTTGTTGCCTGTCTAGCCATTGTTTTATCTATTCCAGGATTTTCCATTAAATTATTCATACTTTATTTTAAGGGAGACTCTTTTATGTAGCACTTTGAAATAAATTGGAAAGTCTAAGAGCAACTCATCAATTGGATAGGTTTGGTCTAAGGAGCTGCATCCAATTTCAATAAATGTAAGTTAGGTTATTAGGCAAGGTTTCTTATCCATATTGTGAATCATTGATGAGATAATTTTGGAAAATGGATGATGAAAAATATGATGGTGAAAAATAACATCTCTTACTTATCTCTTTTAAGATCTTGCAGGTACACTTGATTAAACATATTGGGTAATTAGCAGCTGTACTGCTAATTTTCTTCTTGAAGATTAAGATGATATTTGCATATTTACATTTCTAAGGCACTTTATTAATACTAAGTTTCTCTGAATAGCAGTCTTAGTTGCATGTATAGATCATCAACTAACTCCTTTAGCACTTTAGAATCTGTTTAATTCACGAGTGCTACTGTAGATTTGTTTATTATTTGTCAATATTTTACCTAAGATTATTGGTACAATATATTCCTCAGATCATTTTCAGTTTTTTGATTGAACAATCTCACAGAAACTGGTATTTCTTGAAGATTCTCTTATGTGAACATCAAAATTATTAATTTTTTTTCTACAATCAGTGATGTGGGATTGTAACAGCTAAGTGCCCTAATGTACTCGGTACCCAGTGCATAGTTGATCATTTGATCATAGAAACAAATGATGGGTAAGTCCATGCATCAAGACTGATAGTTCAGTGAATGTAAACCCATGTGCTGTTGACAATCCTAAGAAATCCAGTGATTTCCAGTGAAAGAGAATTGAAGTGGCATATCTCGGGCTCTTGTTAAGAGTATAATGTGAAACTATTTTTCAATCATGGCATATTTATTTTATTTATGGCAGAAAAGTACTTTCTCAAATCAACAGCAAATACAGTTTACTGTGTAGTAATGTAAATATGGTAGGCAGCATGGCCCCCCCTAATGACAAGATATGATGATCTGTTTGCTTAATTTGTTGCCAATGCATCTGCACTCTATCCCTGGGCTTGAAACTATAAAAATCACTTGTTCACCATAGTCTTGTGTAATAATCTTGCAAACAGAAAGTACCAAGATTTTTAGAGCAACTATAAAATATGTTTCAATTGGCTTTATGGAATCTTTAAGAAAACATCCTTATGATGATTGGGAGGGGGAACAATCTAACCTAACCATAATGGAATGGTATCTGATGAACTTGAGACCCAACCCTGTTGGATAGATATCATACGTCATGTAGTTGACTGCATCTTGGACCAGACATCATCCAATATTAGAAATGTGCAAATAATGTATTATACAGTATATAAAATAATTATTGAATATAATTTTTTACTGTGAATACCTATAATGATGCTACTGTAAATTAAAATGTTAATGATAATAGTGGCTGATTTTATACTTTACATATGTAATTTGTGTTGTATGTACATGTAGTTTGTATGTGTTGTATGTACATGTAGTTTGTATGTGTTGTATGTACATGTAGTTTGTATGTGTTGTATGTACATGTAGTTTGTATTGTTATCGTGTGTATATATATGATATACCAAAGATTGTTTTTTCAATGTGAGCTAACTTTAAGAACTTTGTAGAACATATTATTTGAAAAGTCAGCATCAGTTTTGAAAGATATAAAAAATTTTGGTACACAAAAATTGGGTAAGTACAGTATATACAATATTGCCATAGTAGGGTGAATGATTAACATGGATAAAGATACTGTATAAGCATATTCTCGCAAACCAATTTTTGCAGCGTTTAAAATACAGCATTTTGGCAGTACAGGGGTACCTCGGTTTAAGAATTTAATCCATTCCTGGAGACGGTTCGTAACACAAAAATTCGTGAACCGAAGCAAATTTTCCCATAAGAAATAATGGGAAATGAATTAATCCGTTCCTGATTCCCCAAAAACTTCACTTCAGCGTAGATTTTATACCTAATTCACCCAAATCTTCACTACAAAAGTATGTTCAAGTTATTACTTACCCTTGCTGATGACTCCTGTTGGCATATGGAAGATGGTGAGGAGGGGGCAAGAGGAAAGGTGTTACTGATTGGAAGGGGAGTCCCCCCCCCCCTTCCATTATAACAACAGGCAGTGAAGATATCTCTGGAGTGCACTCTCTGGTACGTTTTGCCTGCATACCACTAGGTCCTGGTTGTGGCTCACTGCTTGATTTTCTCACTTTTCTCACAAGGAAACATTCCATTGACGATTGTTTTTTCCTTCTTTGCAACACTTGTCTGTAGTGAGGCATCACATTGTCATTAAAAAGATCAATGCAATGGTCTTCTACAGCTTTATCTGGGTGATTCTTTTCAGCAAAACTTTGCAGTCCTTCCTATACTGCACACATTTTCTTAATTAATGAGGAAGGGACATTCTCTACTGCCTCCTCTTTCTTCCCTGAAGATTTGTTGTACAGGTACTGCCTAGCTAGTTCAACAACACGAGTACCATTTTCATGCTTACGAATGATCTCTTGTTTTTCCTCTATGGTCATTCTCACATGTGATTTCTTACCTTCAACCTTACCACTGGCTTTCTTGGGACCCGTGGTGCGATATATAATAACAACTTTTATGCTCAAATGGTAAAAAATCTGACAAAAAACTGAATTCTTGTGAAGAATTCAGGCGGGATAGTCACTGGGCGCGATCGCCGTGCCACCACGCGCTAGGTCGGCCGTACGCGTATCAAGAAACTCGCTCGTATCCCGATTCAAATTTTCTGAACAAATCGAGCTCGTAACCTGAAAAGTTTGTAAACAGGGGACGTGCGTAACCCGAGGTACCACTGTACAGAATATATATATTTCAGGAAATTTTATAGTTGCCTAAATATTTTGGGTGATGTCATTATTATTTTGTACAAATTTTGCTCATTGTATTAATAGCAATTTATTTTTATTATTTATTAATTTATTTTACCATACAACAGCCTCTTCAACCAGGAGAGGAACACCCCCCAGACTACTACTCTGTGTCCCTAGTAGAAGGCCATCTAGATATCCGTCTTAATGGAGGAACCGGCAGCCACAGAATTATGTCATCAGCAAAGTATAACGATGGATATTTGCATTCATTCTTTGTCATCAAAGAAAACAGAAGGTAAGAAGTTTATTTTTTAATGAGTTCGACAATTTTTCAGTGGGTGGACACTATTTAGGATGCATGAAAGTCTCACTCGATTCATGTCTTTCAACAGTGATGAGAAATGGATTTAATCAAATCTAGTAATAACAGCCATTGACAACTACACAAAATATATGTGCACTCAGAAAAGGAGCACTAATGTGAATTGGCTGAAAAATTATCATCCTTGCTGAAGCTACTTTATAGATGATTTAGCAAGTATACTTGATAATGAACAAGAATTGTAAAAAAAAAAAAGTTCATAGTGTACATTAGCAAAATATAACACACAAATGCTATTTTACATAATAAACAGAAAAGTTGTAAAATACAATGAGAAGAGGTTTGGTAATTGTAATATTTAGGATTGTTATTGATTGAACAAACATGTAACATCATGAGGAGAATGTAGGTAGGCAACGGTACAATAGAAAAAAGGTGATCAGATCTCTGGCTGGGAAAAGGGGGGGGGAAAGGTTGTTAGATTGTGAAGTAAGGAGTGTATTACAGTACAGTGGGACAGCACGCTGGACTTGTGATCCTGTGGTCCTGGGTTCGATCCCAGGCGCCGGCGAGAAACAATGGGCAGTTTCTTTCGCCCTATGCCCCTGTTACCTAGCAGTAAAATAGGTACCTGGGTGTTAGTCAGCTGTCACGGGCTGCTTCCTGGGGGTGGAGGCCTGGTCGAGGACCGGGCCGCGGGGACACTAAAAAGCCCCGAAATCATCTCAAGATAACCTCTCAAGATAATCTATCTTTCCATATTTCACCTACCAAAGTTAAACAAATGAAATGAATAAGTTTTAAAACTTTGACTTTTGAAAAGTACTTTGCTAAAATAGCAAGTTATATTAGGAAGGGACAGGTTATTGGATAAATTCACTAAAAGATAATCTTGGGCAGATGAAGGCTTTCTTCCTCATTAAAGGCAACTAGATACAGATGTCAGATGAAAATAGATGAATACAATATGTTAAATGTCAAAGCCAAATACCAGTATAGGTGAAATTGTGGTCATAAAGGAAGCAATTAGAATAAAATACTGGGTACTTTAAAATTACTTGTACAAAAGGAGAGGGGATAATGGATTATAAGACTTATTGGAAGTTTTACAATAGTGAATTATTGTGGTTATGATCAGGCAATCAGCATTCTGAAAAGGGAATGGTAAAGGGAGGACATAAGGAAAAATCTCATGTGCCATAAGAGAAATAGATCATTTTCACTTTGCATGTTTAAACAGGGCTACCTGGAAGCCTTTCTGTTGCTCTACCCTATAGAAGGAAGTTTACAAAAGAAATGAAGTGCTATAGATATAGATAGATTGATGAAAATAAAGCTTCCTTATCACACTGAACATAAGATTGAGAATAATTTACAGCAGTCTTGATGTCATTCTTGAGTTGCAGAATAAATACATTTGTTTGTTTTTGATCCCTCACCAACACTCTTTTTTATTACTATTCGTTCAGGGTAACCCTGAAGGTGGATGATAAAGAAGTTAATGGAACCAGGCTGGATCGAGGAAGCCAAGTTGTGTCAGGACCAGACACGGGTGGGCTCTACTTTGGAGGAGTTCCTGAAACAATTGATGCTGTAACCATGGTTGGATCTTCTAGAGCATTAAAAGGCTGCATCCGAGATGTAATTGTTAATAATAGGTAGGCATTTTTTAAATTATTACCCTTTTGATTTGATATTTTGAGAGCTACACAATGGAGTGGTACCATAGTAAATATTATTACTGTATGGATGCAAGATGCTTGTGGCATGAATGTGAAAATAAATTATTAACACTATAAATAAACAATGTAAGAACCATATGTGTTAAGAGAATAGTGCAAGTTCTGTGAATGTCATAGAAAGATGTAAAATGTAAACAAATCAAGGCAACTAAGCAGATGAGGGTCCCAAAGTAGAGGGAAGCATGCCATCGTTGTTAAGTGCTCACATCTAAGCCTATTAACTTGCACCAAACTACAACACTTGGGTCTAATTTTACCTTTATCAGTAGTACTGTACATCACATACAATACTGCTCATGCAGCCATTAAGAGTAGAAAAAAACACCCTTCATACTACAGTAATTGAATATACGATAAAGAAGAGTGGGCTATGTGGGTCTCAAATCTACAGCAAGACACAAATTAGAGACGTGTGAGAAAGTCTAAATAAATTTAATTTTTATGGAGCTGGTGAAGATTTTGACTAAGGGAAGCTAGAACTATGGAAGGTGTTGAGGCTGCTTGGAGTGTAGAGGAATGGTGTTAAATGTAGTAAGAATTTTTCTTAGAAAGCAGAGCATGTATAACAGTGGCATAATTATTCATTAGTGTAATATAAATATAAGTGTAAACGAAGATTGCATAGTACTCTCATGCCTACTCGGTGAATACCTGGGTGGTGTCATGAAAGATCAGGTATCTAAGTGGTATGTTATTTTCTGACAGTTTAATGGAGCCTACTGTACTGTTTACAGTACTGTACTGTATTAAGAATATTCACTTTGTGATGTGAGATATGTTTGGTATAGGGACCAAGTCAAGCAACCTTGTTTGCCCTTGGTAGATTGGTAGAGTATAAGATTTTGGAGAGTGCTACAATGACACTCATGTTGAATGAATGAGGTGATGAAGAAAGTGCATTCAAGTTAATATGATATGAGAAGAGGAAATGTAGCAAATGAGTGAGAAATTGTGGTATGCATGTAAACAATTCACAAGAAGAGGCAATGGCATAGGACTAAATGATTATATGTTTGATTTTTACTTTTTTTGGAAGAGCAAACTTGAACTGTTCACATTTCCAGGGTAGTGTCATTTTCACGGCCAGTGAGGTTTAAAGATGTTTACATTGGTCGTTGCGCTGATCTTCCACCAACTGCTATGCAAGGCATGGAAGGGGATATGAAGGTATGTTAACTAATTTTGAATATTTTAACTAAAGTTAGATAATTAATTGCTTACAAGAAATGTTAGGTTTCTCTTAATATTAAAAAACATTTCTAAGAGCAGTAAAGTAGCAGCTCAGTCAGTAGTAAGAATGAAGAAATATAATGTCTTACAGTTGTTATACATTAAGGAGAATGGGTAGAAAAGTATGAGCCTACTGTAGCTGTATATTAAAACATAATTGGATAAATAAAATATAAAATAAAAATGTAAGAATAATTTATCAGATTTGTTCAATATCAAAAACGTTTCCAAGATCAGCCATGTTGTGCCATGTTTGAAGATTTGTGAGCCCTGTGGACTGTTATCTTAGTACAAAAGTGATTTAATCCATGTGTAATGTTTCAGGAGATAAACTCGTGTCAACCCCCAACCCAGCACACTGTGGAATACAAGGCACTTAAATTTGGAGACCAGATTGAGTCATATGTGATGGTACCTATGAATCCTAGGACATTCAAGAAGAATTTCAATGTTTCTTTTGAATTTCGGACATATTATCCTAATGGACTATTTTTCATTGCTTCGGTGAGTTTTATTATTTTTATTTGATTTGTAATTATGTATACAAAATGTATAATAATACAGTGGAAGCTCAGAAGTACAAGAAGGTGAGTACATGTTCTGTTTCATGAAGGATTCTAATTCACTGAATGTTTCACTTCTGTTCATTTGCCATTTTCTCATACCTTCTTGAGGTTATCTTGAGATGATTTTGGGGCTTTTTAGTGTCCCCGCGGCCCGGTCCTCGACCAGGCCTCTACCCCCAGGAAGCAGCCCGTGACAGCTGACTAACTCCCAGGTACCTATTTACTGCTAGGTAACAGGGGCATTCAGGGTGAAAGAAACTTTGCCCATTTGTTTCTGCCTCGTGCGGGAATCGAACCCGCGCCACAGAATTACGAGTCCTGCGCGCTATCCACCAGGCTACGAGGCCCCTCAATGACCTCAAATGACAACCTATATTCGCACATATATACAGACCCAGGTAATTTTAGAACAATGATTTTTAAAAATACTAGAAGGTAAAAGATGAGAGAAAAACTGAACAGAGTTCTATTTGACTTGTCTTGCACAGATGATAGTTTTCCATGCTACCATCCATGTCTGAGAAATGCATAAACTGAAATGTGTATTCTGCATCTTGGTGTATATACCGGCAGTCTCCAATTTATGAACGACCTGAAAGAAAAGTCCCTATTTTAGTTCCCAGTCCTGCTATGTGAATCAATTCCGAAGTCCACACATCTCATAAAAAAATTATATGCATTTAAATTAAAGTAAGTGTGCAATGCAAGCTGCTCAAAATAATTACCGACTTATTAAAATACTGTATAATTTTATGTGCTGTAGTAATGTATCAAGGAATATAGATAATTTTCTATTAAAATGTCATGATTAAATGGAAGTATTACTTATGTACTGTAACTAAATTTCAGAATATAAGAAAGAAGAAGACTCAAACAATATCAGCTCAGCTCCGTAATGGTCGAGTTATCATCTCTCTGAAGAAGCCTAGTAAAAAGGGCCCAAAGGACATAGAGGCAGTTTCCAATCCAGGACTTAATACTGGTCAATGGAGAAAAGTAAGTAATATGTTTTATTGTAAGCTTCAAATGTTTGTCCCTACGTATAGTAGGACTTCACTTGAATGAGCATTGCTTGCTCAAAATTCTTCTTTGCCAAATAGTGTGGCTCAGGAATTAACTTTTCAAACTAAGTAAAAGCCTTAGATAAAAATGCCTAAGTAAAAAATATATATTTACTGTATGTCACTATTCTGGGATACTGAGAAGTTTAGTATGATGTAAATGTGTTTAGTATTCATCCCCCCCCCCCCAAATCCTGTTGACCATACTCTTGTGTTTGGCTTCTTCAGGCCAGTCCACCACTTTCAGTATGCCTGTTAATGTGAGGTTTTGTTAATGAGATGCTGTTAAAGTGAAGCTTTTATGTACAGAATTCAGTATTAATACATTATATCAGTGTAAATCATGTGACAATCATGGTATAGACTGCAATATCAAACAAATTCTATTTTTTTTTAATGTATATTTGTCATGCCATTTTTACAGGTTACAATTGAGAAAGTTCGGAAGCGTCTTCATCTTTTCATAGACAATCAGTTGGTGAAGAAAGTGAAAGCTCCTCGTAAGATGAATATTGGACGGGAATTATTCTTGGGAAGCCTTCCAGCTAATCTTGTTGATCCAGATAGCACACAGGTATTTAAAAATGCACAATGGTGCACCCTTTCCACATGTGTAGCAGAGCACCCCTCCACATGTGTAGTAGAGCACCCCCCTCCACACGTGTAGCAGAGTACCCCCTCCACGGGTGTAGCAGTTCATCCTGCCATAATGTTGCGGTGCTTTTAAGTTTTACATATTCATTTTTATATTTTACACAATTTACACATTTTACACATTCACACATTTAAGTTTTAATGTTTGGTGTATTAGTCTGATGAAAGATTTGCAATCATGTTTCAACTGTTATAATTTATTTCATGTTTTTTACACGAGGGATTTAATGTTTTTCTGTATTTAAAAATGCTTGAGAAACCAAAAATTGACACAGAATAGGAACAAATGGGCAGTTTGTTTAAGCAATTTAAGTTTATATGAGTACATGTAGATGTTCTTTGTGACTCATTAATATAACTTTTACAGTAAGATTCCAAATTATTTTTCAGGAGACAGAAACTCTCCGTGGCTGTCTACGAAACCTAAAAATTAATGGAGAAGACTTTGAAATACCAAACAGTAGGAGACGGGATCGCATTGTTGGTGTTGGGCAGTGCTTTGCCAGTGTACAGCCTGGTTCATATTTCCCAGGAGATGCTTATGCCATATATAGTAAGTCCTACTTTTTTTTATTTACATTAGCGGGAAGTTTAACTTAATCATAAACCCAACAAATGTTTGTGTTGTTGCATCTCCATACTGCTCAATTTTATAAGAAGCCGCCTTTACAATAGAATGGAGGTAATACTTTTACTCATTTATGTAGCCTACACTTCATTTCAGCACATTTTAACATTGCTGGCAAAACAGCAGCATTAAAATTAATTTTAAATGTTAAAAGATATTTGCCTAATCTGTTATGTGATTCAGATGCCTTTTACCTATGTAGTGTCTTGCAGACGCTGGAGTGTGATGGCATGGTGTAGTGCAGTAACTACATATGGAACCCAGATTGGAGATATAATAAGCACAGTATTCAGAAGTAAATATATATTCTCAATAAATTACAGACTGGTAACAAATAATTTGCAATATGAAATCAGAGCCAGGAGCAGGACACTGTGGAGACAAGGAACAAGAAGTCATAACATGTCAAGGGTGGCTGGGGCTGATGCTGGAGGAGAGGATAGGAAATGGTTTGCCTGATGCTGGTCTGAGACTGAGGGAATGTGACAGCCAAGTTGGAGGTCTATTTATTCAGTACTGCCAACTTGGCTAATGCAAACAAATCTGAGAAAGCTCCAGTAGGAAAACAGCTTGTACCAGCAATACTACCTCCTACCCAAGACAAACAGCGGCTATGAAAACCCCAGCTGACCCTAAGGGCGGGCAATCACCGAGCAGCAAAAGATTCCTACAGAGGTAGTTCCTGAACGATTTGTGGAAGATAACCCCAAGCCGCAAAGGCAGTACTTGCAGGGCCCCTAGGGAAGAAGGCCCTAGGTGCATGCAGCCCCAGTACTCTGTGAATACTCTTGGCTCACATACAACAACACAACAGAACAACACCTCAAGGGCACAGCACTGCACAGAGACAGGAACCAGTCTCCTGGTTCCTGAGTGGTTGTCGAACAGCCTCAGAACAGAGGTTGGATGGCCAGCGTGGGGGTCTGGGGCTTCCCCTCCCAGGGAGGAGGAACTGAGCAAACAGCGGCGCAGCGGTGGTTGTGACGTCATGCTTGTTTGCTTGTTTCCAGATTGTGGAGTTCTGCTTGATAGTTCGGCTATTAGTTGAGCTGGTGGCTACCTTACCTTGAGGGTACCTTGAGGTGCTTCCGGGGCTTGGCGTCCCCGCAGCCCGGTCATCGACCAGGCCTCCTGGTTGCTGGACTGATCAACCAGGCTGTTGGACGTGGCTGCTCACAGCCTGACGTATGAGTCACAGCCTGGTTGATCAGGTATCCTTCGGAGGTGCTTATCCAGTTCTCTCTTGAACACTGTGAGGGGTTTGCCAGTTATGCCCCTTATGTGTAGCGGAAGCGTGTTGAACAGTCTCGGGCCTCTGATGTTGATAGAATTCTCTCTGAGTACCTGTTGCACCTCTGCTTTTCAATGGGGGTATTCTGCACATCCCGCCATGTCTTCTGGTCTCATGTGATGTTATTTCTGTGTGCAGGTTTAGGACCAGCCACTCTAAATATTTTCTGAGCGAACAGAACACTGGACGCATGATCCTGTGGTCCCGGGTTCGATCCTGGGCACCAGAGAGAAACAATGGGCAGAGTTTCTTTCACCCTGATGCCCCTGTTGCCTAGCAGTAAATAGGTACCTCGGAGTTGGTCAGCTGTCACGGGCTGCTTCCTGGGGTCGAGGCCTGGTCGAGGACCGGGCCGTGGGGACACTAAGCCCCGAAATCATCTCATGATAACCTCAAGATAGGTAGCAATTTTTATCCAGGTGGAGTTTGTTTTGGGACGTCTACCTTTCTGGATGCCTAACCCGGTCGATGGCAGAAGTGGAATGCTTCCAATCACATGGGGGTTTCTATAGGCCATTGCTTCTCATGCCTCTCTGAAGAGGCCTGGTTCTGGCTCGTGGTTCCCGGTAGACAAGAACTCCAATCGAATTGACTGATGCCACGGTCTAATACATACATATCAGCCCGGTAAGCTCCGGGGAGCCGGAGGGGGGCTCTACAGAAAAGTTTATTAATGATTAAGGATAGATATTTGAAACCTGAAATTATAAAAGCTACCTTACCTTGAGGTTACCTTGAGGTGCTTCCGGGGCTTAGCGTCCCCGCGGCCCGGTCGTCGACCAGGCCTCCTGATACATGCAGTTTACAGTACAAAAATATAAAAGCTGTGCAATTCCCATCCACAGTACTCCTATGATCCTGGTGAAGGAAAGTATATACAGTAGTTGCTGTGCTGTGTGTTTTCATCCTATTCTTTTTTGTTTTATGCCCTTGGCTGGGAGGTAGCCAAGCCTGACCTTGGGCCAGGCAGTAGAACAACTCCCAGAACCCCATCAAGCAGGAGGAAAAGCAAATATGTGCATCTGTGCTTTAGCTATAGTGCATAGAGGACGGTCATATGTGCACTTTCTCTATGATTCCACTATATTGGATTTTGCTACAATTATTCTTTAATTATTATTTTCTGCTGCAGGTGATGACTTTAATGTTGGTTCGCTGCTGGAATTAAGACTGGAATTCCGAACTTGGGAGCTAAACGGTATCATTCTTAGTGTTGCTGACCTTCGAGGAACTTCACTTTCTCTTGAACTTGTTAATGGAGCTGTAAGTACTATAAAACTTAAGTTAATAGGGAAATATGCAAGAAATTGTAAAAATTGCATTCCTCTAATCACCTTAATTTTGCTATTTTTACTTTAACACTGAAAAATATATTTACATAAACTTTCAGAAATATGCCACCATCGTCATTATCCCGTTTTCCTTTGTCAGAAATAGCACGTCATTATTGTATCCCATTTTTCTTGTTCATATGTTGAGAGGAGAAAGAAGGTTAGAGATCTTTCCCCACTAATCAACATCAAATAGAACCAGCACCGTCACTTCAGCAGAGCACCCATAGTAGTACCCCACTAATTCATATGACTACATAAAGTGTACTTCCTGTAATTTATCAAATAAAAATGTTTTGATGAAAAACTTTCCTGAGCAGGACATTTAGTTGCTACCAAGTTAAGATTTGCTGAGGCTGTTTACCAAGAGCAGTAACAGCCATGCAGATAACATTCTGACACAGGCCTCATAAGAAACATTTAAATGGTCTGTGCAGGACTATACTGGTTAGGGAGCACTGGAGAATACTCTGTACTATCTTAAAAATACACAACCTCAAAGCCTTACCAAGCATTGGTAGGGTATGCATATATTGTCCCGCATGAGCAGGAATTCACTATACTACACTTTAATACCCACTCAGTCACTTATACAATGTAATTTTTATGGTGACTTCAAATCTACATGCATCCACCACCCCCACACACGTCGGAGCTAAGGCATGAGGCATCTTGCATCATTTCCAATGTATATGCAGCATATATACAATTTAAATATAATTCTTTTGATTTAACATTGTACAGCATATAATTTAGTAATTATGAATAATAATATTAAATACAGTATATCAGACCCTTTTATGATTAGCAAAAGAATATGACTTTACCTCATGGACCAACACATCAAAACTATCATTATTGTGTACAAAGAGGCATAATATACTTACTGAGATCATTTCAACAGGTTTTGCTAAGTGTTGACATGGGTACGGGCCATGCTTTTAGTGCTCGAGTGGGACTTCGAAACAAGTTCAGCTTCTGTGATAACATGTGGCACACTGTTAAAGCCAGCTATATTAAAGACTCAATTTCCTTAAGAGTTGATGATTACCGTGAAGCATATGGATTTAATGGATCTGGTAATGGTGAAGGTGCACTTACAGGTGCTCCATTCTACATTGGTGGGTTACCAGGTAAGCTTACTCAAATATTTAGTTTAAATTACAAGTACAGTATATGATTACTCTGACATTTCATTATTCACAGTTATACAAGTAATTCACATTGTATACTTAGGAGCCATACCCAGCCTCGGTGGATCATGACCTGCCAGGCTGTGTGGGGTTTCTTGGCCTTGTATCTCACCTCTGTGTTATAGTAGAGTGGCATTTTTAAACAGGTGAGTACAGGAACAGATGACTCCTGAATCATGTTAGCAGGCTGAGAGCTTTCCCTTCCCATAGCACATGGTAAGCCTTGCCCACTAGTTTCCTATGGAATGCTACCTGCCAATCAGTTAACAACCAGGTACCCAATTATTGCTGGGGTGAACAGAGGCTAACAGTTGAGGATTGTCTGGGCATCAATCCTCCCTGGCTAGGTCACAAACCTAGACAAATCACTTATGAGGTGCAGGGCGTGTGTTACCACTGTGCTACCAGAAACTGCTTATTCCACTGTGGCACCAAGGTTTCTTTGTAGTGGCACTGTGTACTCACCTAGTTGTGTTTGCTGGGGTTGAGCTCTGGCTCTTTGGTCCCGCCAAAGTTTGTGTGGGCCTTATATGTATTCTTTACTCTTCAGTCTCAGTCCTTTGTGTCGACTGCCATAGATATTTTTTTCCTTGTCTACTCCTATTTTGCCAGATGTTGCCTATATAGTATTGGCACCTTGTCTTGGCAGAACCCTGTCTCTACCATTTGTGGGGCTGTAACTTTACTGTCTCCAGGGGTTTGAAGTGTACTTCGATCACCAGCCAGGACCACATGTGCTTTGTCTTGTGGCCACAGTGGCATTTGCGTGCATTCTTTGAGCTGTTTAGATTGAGAGACTTATCTGTTTCTCACATCATGTTGCAAGGCCTGCCATTCTTAGGTCCTCTGGTGGTTTTGTCTAACCTGCCAAATGTTTGCTCAGATCTGAGGATATGAGGTTGTTTGCTATTTTGTTACAATCGGGTGCATTTCAATTATGGCAATTACCATACAGCAACAATTGATTGTCTTGTTACATCTATGCTTCTTGATGGGTTTTACCAGTTTTGTGGTTGATCTTTTATCCCCTCAACTCATAGCAAATCATATTCTGGTCCTAGGCTTCCAGTAGGTAATGGTTGGGTCAGAGAGGCCTGATGAGTTGATTAAAGCTTGGTGGTAAAGGGTATCCACGCTTTACAAACAATAACGTTAAGGGCATTTGTCCATATGAACATCCTCTAGTTCCCCTGTACCCTCTTCAGCCATAAAAATCATTGTACAAACTTGCAGGAGTGTTCCTTTAAATTTCCATGGTAGAACACTAAAACATCCAAACAGTAGCCACATGGAGTACCTACCTGTTGACTACCTATTGGTGATTTCGAGGAGCAATGTCCCCATGTCCCTGGTTGGCCTCCTGGTCTGATCAACCAGGCTGTTTGATGCGGCTGCTAGCAACCTGACATATGAGTCACAGCCTGGTTGATCAGGTATCCTTTGAAGGTGTTTGTCGAGTTCCCATTCAAACACTGCAAGAGGTCGACCAGTATGTGTAGGGGAAGTGTGTTGAAAATTCTTGGGCATTTGATGTTGATCAAGTTCGCTCTCTACCTATTGCACCATCCACCAGTTAGCCCCACCAAAAAATGACATATGTTCAATGCTAGAGTTTTCTACATGTGATAGAAATAAGGTATCATTAAACAAGGATGCCCTGTACTAAACTAATTGAAAAGTGGCCATCAGCTTTCCATGAAAGTTCATCAATCTGTGTACTGCCACATTAATTTACCTTGTGTTTATTTTTTTGCAGATACAGCCCTTCCCGGAACTCTTATGTCTCGTGAAAACTTCAAAGGCTGCATCCGCAATATTGTCCTGAACAGTGAACGACGTGATTGGACTGATATGTATAAATTGCAAAATGTTTTGCTCAATGCTTGCCCTGTTCAATGAAACAAATTTTAAAATCTTTCTAATTACTTAAATCTGATGATCTTTAATTATGCATAAAGATATTGAAGTACAAATAAGTTTTGCAATAAAATGAAATATTGTATAAAGAATAGTTATGTACCAAACAATGACTTAAAAAATTACTAAAGGCAGGGAATATTCATTAGCCATAATAATATTTGTAGCTTCTCCTAAGTTAGTAACTTGCATATTATTGGGTAAGGAATATTGTACAAGCTGTTAAGTGTACAAGCAGTATGAGATAATTTCCTAATACTGTACTAAAAGTTAACACAAGACTGACATTGTGCATTTCATGTGCATATTTGACAGTATTTCATTCTTTTCTTAAATTTAAATTAACTTTGACATAAAGCTATATTATTCATTCAATAAAAAGACTAATTTTTAAAGTCTTAAAAAGAACTCAAAAGTTGTGGTAGAGCTACAAATTGAAAAGCACTACTGTACCAAGTACAGTACTGTATTGAGCAATTTTCGGGAAATACACGCAGATTGCAGCAATGAATATACTGAACATTTAATTGTTAGTGTGAGAGTATTCATAATGGCTATTGTCTTGTATGGTAATAAGTTATTTGTGTGCCAAAGCTGGAGTGCTGGAATTGGGAATGGTATTAATAGCCAATATAATTTACCTATTTGAAGTTTAATTTTCTGTGAACCTTTAGAGACTCGTTCTCTGAAATCCAATGGTGCTGTAGATATTATGAATCTCGATAATAATAATAATAATCTCACATGAGAATTAATTAGCTTTAGTAAGTGCTTAGAGCCATTTTACTACTAATGCTCTTGTTTGTATATTGTTTGTTTCTTCCTTACAGTGCTAATAGTTGCTCTCCAGCCCCTAATGTAATCTTTCTCCAGACTTTCGTCATTGTGATTAAAGCTGACTAAATTGATCTTGAATGACGTTTTATTAATATGTATAAAAGGTGGGGGGAGGGGAGGGGGCACTTCATGAAAATATCATAGTACTGTATTTATTGTTTTCAGACTTTTTGTAATGAAATTAGGATTTATAACACCATCTAACATAAAAGTTACATTAGTCATTATTTTAGTAACATTAATTCCTTAGTGCACATGAATGTATTATATGTTTTTACTGAAGTGAATGTACTGAATTAATTTCAGTTTATTTTAATGTATATATTGAGGGTATGAAAAAGTTACTTGATGTACTTATGATGTTTGCATAAGTGACTAATTGCAACTTGTGAACTATTTTCATTGAGAATAAAGCTGCTGTTTATAAAACAATTTGTTTATTGTGCATCTCATACTTGTCCTTTGTTAATACAGGTTTTAATTGGACACCAGTAGGTGTTCATTAATATTATTATAAGTTGTATATAAAACATATTGTATATATAAGTAAGTATATAAAACCCTCTTGCACTATCACCTTGGAATGACAAATTGTTAAGTAATGTCATTCGCTTCATTCAAAAATGTGAATTTGATTTACACTGCTATACACCTGTTTAGTCCAGCCATTATTGTACTGATTTGTACAAGTTGTTACAAATAATTTATGATAATGATAATGTCTGCATGCTATGCTATTATTGTGACATGTAACAAAATTATTACTGTTTGCATGTAGTGACAGAGTTTGCTGATTTAATGCTACTCAATTACAGGAATCAGAAAGAGAGAAGAATCTGGGAGTGGATGTAATTCTGACACTAACACTAGAGGCACGAAAAAAAGGATAACATCGGCAGCATATGGGATACTGGCAAATTAAACATAATTTTTCCTAATCCTAATTCAGAAACTGGAATCAGGACTTCAAAGCAATCTACACAACATATGTTTGACCAATACTGGAGTATGCATCACCGGCATGGAATCTGCACCTTATGAAGCAGAATGCCAAAAGTGAAAAAGTACAAAGGTTTGCAACAATATTGGTGCCAGAGCTAAGGGGGTTACGCTATGAGATAGGCTAATGGAACTAAATCTCACAACCCTAGAAGTTTAGAAGGAACAGAGGGTATATGATCACAATGTACAAGATACTGAGGGGAAATAGATAAAGAGGACAAGGCTAACCTCTCCAGATTGAGAGAAAGCAGGACATGAGAACACAGATGGAAATTAGAAATGCAAATGAGCCATAGGAATGTAAAGAAGTACTGTACTCATACCCTGTATTGGGTAGTTAGCAAGAAGAATGCTCTAAAAGAAGAAGTTGTGTAATCCACAACTTTAAGGCTTTTAAGGCCCAATTCGACAAAGCATTTGAAATCAGAATAGTTAAATTGAAATGTAGCAGGTACAAGACTAGTAAGCAGGGCATAAGGAACTAGAACTCACTCCCCTGAAGACAATGATAGGTAAGTACTAATAGGCAAGTACTGTCTGTATCATCTGGTGACTGTATGGTTCATTAAGACCTAGTGACTACCTGGACCATTAATAACTAATGACTGTCTGGATCATTAAGACCTACTGATTGTCTGGATCATTAAGATCTAGTGACTGTCTGGATCATTAAAGATCTTGTGTACCAAAACTGTTTCCTTGTGTGCTATTCCCAGAAGCTGTACGAGCTCGGTTGTCCATAGCCTGCTGAACCGAATTTTTGGGTTATCCGGCCAAAAGCGGGTTCAGATAATTTTCTGGTAAAACTTCACCATATCCAAACATAAATTTGGATAACCGGAGATTAGGTTACATAAATTTTCAAGTACTAAACATTTCAAGATCTACAGTACACCTGTATCACACAAGAAGCCAAACTACTACACACAAGAAGCTAAAATTTCTATTTTAAATTATATTTATGATGTATAGTGTGTGGAAAACTAAGAATTATGATGGTTGTGGTACAAACAAATTTAAAATATGGATATTTTTGACCTTCTGTAAGAATTCTGCTTATCCGAATGTCTGGCTTCGGATAAGTGAGCTTAGCCAGTACTGTACTGTTATATTACCAGTCCCACCTCGTCACAAGTCCTACAACTTGACACGTGTTACTCTGCATTCTGCATTTTCTCTGTGATGATGTACACCTGTACTTACTTAGAACATCAATATGGAAACTGCAGATGAGGCAGGTGGTTGGCACCTGCCTCCTCTGCACAGCTACCAGACATATCCTCACACAAGAACACATCTTCAGGTATGTCCACTGTCAACCATAAGATCATACCACATGTCAATAAACTAATAGAAGTTGATGATAGAGGAATTAAAGTGCAGTCACTCACAGACGAGTCAAATTCTGTTGAAGACTCACAACACACTGATGGAAATACTAAGCCTTGTCAAACTTGTTAGTGGTTGAGGAGGTGACAAGAGCTGTGCCCCCAAGTACCAAAAATTGAATCGGAGCAATGTGAGATGGCAAACCAGGCTTCATTTTCCCCATGGCACAAGGACCACCAAGAAATATGCATGGTTAGTTGAGACAGTCAAAAGACACCCAGGTGGTGGCTTTTGGTTTGCAAACAGGAAAATCATATTCATATGAATAATATAGAGATGTTACAGCAAGATCTTTAGAGGAACTTGCAGGCATAAAGATGCACATTTCCCCAATCCCCACTCATGCTGACTTAATCACCATGATAACCTTAGTAGGCACCTACTAAGACCCCACCCCCCCAGCCTCAAAGTCAAATTACTGACCCTCCCAGGATGCAACCTCATAACAGGCCAACTAACTTCTGCAAACATATTTACTGCTAGGTGAACTGAGGCATTGGGTGATAGGAAACACGCCCAGCCATGTTTGTCCCGCCCAGAATTTGAACCCGGAATTTTCGATTATGAGTTGAGAACAAACCCGACTGTACAAGGCGCATCCGATCCCTCGCTCATCGTCGCCCCTCAACCAACAACAACTACCGGAATCCTTTATATGTAAGGTAGGCGGATAAATTGTAATGGTTAATGTCAAACATCCCCTGATCAATGTCTGATTAAGACCTTTTGTGTCCTATTGTTATCCCTTTACCCTGCCGCTCACAGGACAAGAATGGAGTGCACAATATACTAGCCTCCGCTGGCTAACACAATAGTAAATTAAATTTTATTCAGGAAAGTACATATATAGTTGATTTACAAACATAATGTTGGATTTATATATAGAGCTAGTACATACAATACCTAAAGCCACTAGTACGCATAGCGTTTCGGGCAAGGTGAGGTGATGGAAAAACACTTTGACTAAAACTTAATAGTAATTGAGCTTAAAGTATAAAATGCATTGAAAAAAAAAGATTAAAAAGGTATTGAAGGTATTGCAGGGAGTGACCTCTGACTCCATAATGATGTAATTTAAGAAGAAGGTTTTGGTGGTTGACAAGTGTCAAAAGCCTTACGTAGGTCCACAAATAACCCAACAGGGAACTCATTTTTATTAAGAGCTGTATGTATCAAGTTAATCATACTAATAAGTGCATCATTAGTGCTCTTATTGGGTCTGAAACCATATTGGCAAGAGCTAAGTACAGTATATTGAGTTTGGCTAGATATGAGTAAAGCTGCTTGTAGATTAGCTTTTCAAATATTTTAGACAATGTTGGCAGAGTTGAGATAGGTCTGTAATTGTTGACATCAGTGAGATCATCACATTTGTGGACTGGGGTTACTCTCGCTTTTTTTTTTAGAAAGGTTTGGAGTTCAAGTGATTTGTTAAAGAGCAATGTAATGGCAAGAGCTAGAAATCTGGAGGCTTTTTTGTAAATTAGAGATGGTATCTCATCAAGGGCACTTGACTTAGTTTCAAGGGAAAGGATTACCTCATTAACATCAGAGGACGTAGCGGGAGCTAGTTACAGAGACTGGATAGTTACCTGTAAGGTAGTCTTTAATATTAGTGAGTGAGAATGGAATATCATGAGCAAGGGATGTACCAATGGATGAAAAGAACCTATTGAATAGAATGGCAGGTTTATCAAGACCTATTGACTACACTGCATGCACACTTGAATTACTATAATAATAATAATAATTTATTTAGGAACAGTACATACATAGTTGCAGCGTTACAGTACAAACATTCTGTTAGATTTAAAGATTTTATTTTTTTTGTTTTTTTTAGATATATACAAGTTGTTACATTCTTGTACAGCTGTTCCGAACCTTAATGGAATCTGACCCATATATCAATCAGGTCAACCCATGTGTTGCGTTTCCAAAAGGGTCGCCCATGTTAGAATCGGTGAACGCCCTAGTAATATTTTTGAAAACATCTTAATAACTTATTAAACCAAAGGTCTTTTTATGTCAGAAGAACGGCAGAAACTGGATCTATATATGAAAACTCTTTCAGGGCAAAATTTAAAGTAAAACTAAAGATATTTGTAGTTGTATAAAAGTTGCATTTTTCATCGGTCGTAGAGCTTGAAATCCACAATATTCATCTCAGAACAATGCTTATTTCACGCAGAATCGTTAATAAACGTAAGATTTTTATACGTCTCAAGAAAGATAGAAACATCTTCATTTTAAATGCCTTACCATGGGCATATTTGTATTTAAAGCGAAGATACGTGTATTTTTCTAATCGGCGAGCAACGGAGTAACACTCTCAGAACAATGCTTATTTCACGTAAATTCGTTAATAAACGCAAATGTTTTTATATGTGTTGCGAAAGATAGAAATATAAGCTTCATTTTAAATACTTTACCATAGATATATATAAAGTTCTAATGAAGATACATGTGTTTTAATAATCGCCGAGCTCCGACCCCGCACAGACTGATCGACAGAGCAACTCTCTCTCAGAACAATGCTTATTTCACGTAAATTCGTTAATAAACACATATGTTTTATATGTCTCAAGAAAGATAGAAATATAAGCTTCATTTTAAATACTTTAACATAGACATATATAAAGCTCAAGTGAAGATACATACGTTTTTATAGTGGCATTCAGTAGCTTGTCGGTCATGGAATGCAGAAGCCTACGCACTTGCCAATATAGTGTGTAATTAACAAAGATACGCTTATAAAGCCTAAAATACTATATGCCTTCAGAAAGACAGAGATATGCTCGTTATTGTGAGTGCACCAAAGGAAATATATCTTGTTGGAGGACAAAGATATATCAATTCTAAAATAAGTTTCGACTCTCGCTCGGGCGAGAGATAGCGCGACTCTCACCCCATCTATTGGAGATTCTGTTCACCTAATGACCCAAAGCTACTCAAAGCCTCCTAGCATTACTTAAATAATGAAGAAATATGGTATATTTATTCACTATAATGTTGGCGATTTATAGATAAAGCTAGTACAT